AGTGAGGAGGAGGGATTTCACTGTCAGAAACAATCAATCTTAGGAGGTTTCTTAGTGGAAGTTTGTTTTGGCTTTGAAGTCCTTCAAGTTCCCCATGGAAAGAATAGAATTCACAGTAGAGGCACAGACTCCTTCGACTGAAAGTGCCCAAGACTCTAAGCATGGTCCATTATGGACACAGCTCACGGAGTCACAGTCATGGCGCATGGGGCCGAGTGTCTTAGAAGTTCTCACTGGAGGACCCAGAGCTGCAGCTGGCTGGGTCTGGAAGCTCCCTGAGGTCATTCAGCTGGGTTTTCAAACCTGTGTTTCCCAGGCGGTGGAGGACAGGCCAGCCGTTCACACCCGGAGTTCACCCCGCTTCTGACACTTCCATCGCTGTGTCGGTAGATGGTTCCCAGGCACAGTTCCCTTAGGAAACAGAGACTCTGCCCCCGGAAGCAATAGAGGGGCTTGGAATCTCAGATCCATTCCTGCCCTGACCCCCAGCAGGCCTCATACCACTCACAGGTGCGGGCGACTTGCTAGACCGAGGACCCCCAGAGAGTGGTGACCCCAGAGCCGGGGCTCCCGAGAGCTGGCCGGGATCCGACCTCAGCTCTGAGAAGCGCTGGTGGTGTGTGGCCCAGCCCATGGCCGGGGGACTCTTCCAGCCTTCCGGGGGCACATTTACAGTCTGGTAGAGAGGTTCCTGCCACACAGGGCAAAGTGTCACACATGGCTCGGAAGGGACATTAGCACCCTGCTCATCTCCCCCAGGGACGAATGTCCCCCTAGAATGGAGCATCCTTCCCAGGTGCCCTCAGACTCCAGGTTCCCCAGTAACGGGGAGCTCCCTAGACCCTGCCACACTCCAGCTGGCTCTGCAGACGGCTAATGTGGATAACGAGGAAAGACCTCACAGCACAACGGTGTGCAAACACCCATCAGAGACTAGGATAGAAACACAGACGCCATAATCACCACGTTTCTGAATGTCAGCGTGAGGACCCGGAGAGAGTGGCACAGAGCGCCAAACCAGAGGCCTCCGTAGAGCTCGGAGGCACTGAGTTGCAGAAAGATCAGCCTGCACAAGAGCAGACTGGGAGCTGGGTGTGGTGGTGCATGCCTATAATCCTAGCACTTTGGGAGGCTGAGGCAGGAGGTTCGCAAGTCTGAGCCCATCCTGGGCAACTTAGTGACTTGGCAGGATCCTGTCTCCACATAATAAAGAAACAATACATAAGTAAATGGCCTGGGGATACGGCTCAGTGTGCGGGCCTTGGATTCGATCTTTGGAATGACATGTCAGATGGTTCTCATCATGCACACACCCAACACAAGCCCGCTGTATGAGCCCACTGCTGAAAATGGTACTAGGCCATATGTGTTGAAAAGCATGTCACACGCTGTGCTCAGCACTTCCGCGTGTTGACTGTTTTCTAAATGATGTTCTGAAAGCAGGAAACTGAAGATCAGAGAAGGTAAGCTATTTGTCCCAGGCCACACAGCGTCTGGTATTGCTAACCACCCCCTGCTGACTCCCCTGTCTGTGAAATGGGGTTGGCAGTTACACAGAGGCAGTTTGATCTATGCGTGACTCCCAACAGGGTTGATTCATGAACAGATGCACACACCTGGGGTGCCCACACAACTACTCAAGGATGGTACACCCTCAGGAATGGCCATGTGCGCCCTTACAAAGGTGCACATTCAGCCCGTGGAGACTTCGCTCTGGACCGGGGACCGAGGGAGCTCAAGGTGCCGCCCCAGGCAAGCACCTGCTGGGCTGGCCGCCTGTAACCGGGCCGGCAAGCGCAGACTTGAGCCAACCCCACGTCTTCCTGCTCCTGGGAGGGCAGGGTGGACCTTCTGCAGAGTTCTGTGGCCCCCACCCTGGCCCGGACCAGGGTTTGGGTCCTGCTTTGGTATTAAAAACTAAAAAGAACAAATCTACAAATGTTGAGTGACTGACCTGAGCTCTGCAACAAGCAGAGGCTCTGCAGGGGCCCAGCCTGTCCTCCTCCAGATGCACAGCTGGGCCGGAAGCCCCGGCCGGTTCTCAGGCTGTGGCGCTGGCCAATGACCTGAATTTCCATTACATGGCCGCTTCTCCTGAGTTCAGAACCTTCCACTTCTCAGCAAGAATTACCTGAGCCTGGGAGGTGCAGGCAGTGACCTAAGCACCGGCGATTTGACCGTGAATGAAACGTACAGAGCTCCTGTCTCCGTGGCACCCAGCGGCGAGGGATGGACAGTTATTAAATAAACAAGAACGTGCTGGTTGGTGATGAACACCACAGGGAACATGGGGTGAAGGGCTGACGAGGGTGTTTGGGGTGGGGAGGCTTCTTCCGACTGGGGTCAGGAAGTAACGTGTGCACTAGAAACAGACGGCGACAAGATAGCACCCAACTGTGCCTTTTCAGTGGCTGGCTCATACGTGAACTGTTGAGTCTTGGATAATGAAAACTTTCCAGCATATGACATCATTCCCAGTCTGAGGATTGAACCCAAGCTTTTCGCACTGAGCTATACCCCCAGCCCATTTGTTTGTTTATGTATTTATTTTCTTATTTTGAAACGGGGCTTGCTAAGTCACTACGTTGGGTAGACAGCAAGTGCAAAGGCCCTGAGGCGGGTCCCAGTTGAGCCGAGGAAGGGAGGCCAATGCACAGCTGTGTGGAGAACAGTGGAGAGAGTGCTGGGAGGTATCAAAGGAGACTTAGGAGGTATCACAGCGCTCAAATGCTCGGGGTAAGGAGTTTAGATTTAATGTAAACATTATGGGAAGCCACTGGAAAATTTTGAGCAAGCAAGGGATATGAATGGATTTATATCTTCTGAAGATGTTCTGAAATAGTGGCCCTGGGTGCTGCAGCCTGGGAGGATCGAGCATGAGCCCCACATGCCTCGGTGTCCCATTTTCCCAGACCAGGTGCCCGGAACAATCGTACTGACAGAGCACGTCCCTTGGCAGAGCCGCACCGGGGCCTCAGGCCGGTCCTGCACCAGCTCATGGTCCCATAAAGGTGCGCTCAATCTGCACCTTCCCCCTCCAGGGAGACCCCAGCCCTGCGGCCCTCCTGCAGCTCCCTTCCCCACGTGGCACAGTGCAGCCAGGGCCGTCTTGTCAGGACCTGCCCCGTGCCACGCTGACCTGGTGAACAGGAAGCTTTCTGCACGCAGGCAGGCAGGGCAGGCGGCATGCACCCCGGGCTCGCTGTGCGGGGAGCACACACCTGGAGCCGGGTGAGGACTCTGCCCCCCGGGCTCGACTTCCACAGCCCATGACTCAGGGGTCCCCCGATTGGGAGGGCCACGCTGGGTAGGGTGAGTGTGCATTTGCCCGGGGCTGGCCCCCCTGGGCCTGCTGTGGCGATTCAGGGGTGAGGCTGGGGCGGGGGGCAGGCAGGGCAGGGAATACACAGTGGCTCTTTTGGACCCCAAATGTGGACATCTGCCTCCGGCTGGTCCCCTCCTTTCCCAGGTGCGGGGCTTGGGGCACCCTGGATGGTGGTAGGAAATCTGCAAGGGCGGGGCGGGGCACACTTAGATTCATTTCTGTCACAGGCTCTCAGATGCTGATTTAGGTGAACTTTTCCATTCCTGCCTCCTACCTGGGATGCTGCTGGCTGGGGCTTTTGGAGCCGTTTGCTCAGCACTCTGGGAGGGCTTGGTGCTGAGCCTCTCCTTTTCTCTTTGCCCTGGAAGTTTAACCTCTTCCTTGCCTTTGAAAAGCAAGGCAACTGGAAAAACACGTCCAGCCTGTTTCGTCCAGGAATGCTCCCCGTGTGTGGCGGGCAGCCGTGAAGTTCCTAGGAATGGCAGCTCCCAGGAGGTCAGACAGCAGCCAGTGCCCCAGCCTTGCTCCTGGCCTCCCAGACCCTGCCTCTGCCCAGTCCTCGACCCGGAGGAGCCTCACACTTTGGCCCAGGCTGGACTCAGGGCGAGGCTCTGTGGGAAACAGTGAGGACAGAGTGAGGACAGGAGAAGTCTCAGCTTTCACTCGTGTCTGGTGCAACCGGAACTGGTTTCCAAGGAACAGTTCCCACCTGGCCACCCAGTGTGAGCTGGGGCAAGGCCCCATCTGTGCGCGAGGGGCCGGGACAGGCGCCATCCTCTCCAAGGTCCCTTTCAGCGCTGACTCTCCAGGAGTTTAGGAGCCATCGGTGTTCTGGTCATGAATAAGGCATGGGTGGCACGAAGGTGTTCACGAGCCTGTGACCCGAGGAGAGCAGCTTCTTCCTTTTATGAGCCTTAGTGTTTTATTATTAATAATAATACTGGGCAACCTGCTAGAGCCTTTATTATTTTCCTTTAATTTTCACAACAGTTCTATGAGATAGAGAATGCTCTTTTCTCTGACAGGTGAGAAAAGCAAAACTCGTAGAGGTGGCCTTGAGAGGCCCCCACCTAGAACAAGGTGGAGACCAGGCTGAGAGCCAGGCAACCTGATGCCAGCCCTGGGGTCCTGGTCACTTTCCTCTTCCACGTGTATCGATAATTTGGGGGTAGCTCATCCCTGATGGAGGGGCCGTGGAGCAAGGACAGTGAGACTATTGCTAAGCTTGGGTTCCTGCTAAGAACTGGGACTGTCTTACCATCCCAGGGTAGCTACGGAGAGTTTTTGGAAGAAGGAATAAGTGAGTGAGCAGCACTGCGTTGCATGGGCTGGGTGCTTTGGAGAGGGTGCTGCACATTGTTTGTGTTCTGAGTGAGACATGAGGCCGAGTCAGGCCCCGCCTGTGAAGAGTGGGTCATAGAGGGGTTGTAGATAAGCCATGTGGGGACCCATGGTGGTTTCTTGTGGGGGACTGTCCTGTGCATTGTAGTTCGTTCAGCAGCACCTACCTCTGCCTCCTAGATGCCAATAGAACCCCCCAGCACAAGCTGGAGCGGCCAAAAATGTCTTCAGACATTGCCAAGTATCTGCAGATGGTAAAAATGCCCTCCAGTTATGAGCACAGCAGCAGGAACCATTTCTCTCCTAACTGCACCCTCTCTGTCTGTTTCGCCAGGAGTTCTTTTCACCATGACCATTGTCGCCCTGGGTCTGGCCACGTTGCTGCTCTGTTGTGTGACCTGTGAGAAGCTTCTAGAAGGAACAGACTCCTCCTCCGTGTGGCACTTTACACACTCCCTTTACAATGCCACCATCTATGAAAACTCTGCCCCCAAGACCTACGTGGAGAGCACCGTGAAGATGGGCATGTACCTCGCAGAGCCGCAGTGGGCAGTGCGCTACCGGATCATCTCTGGGGATGTGGTCAATGTCTTTAAAACCGAGGAATACGTGGTGGGGAACTTCTGCTTCCTGAGGATAAGGACAAAGAGCAGCAACACGGCGCTTCTGAACAGGGAGGTTCGAGACAGCTACACCCTCATCATCCAAGCCACAGAGAAGACCTTGGAGTTGGAAGCCCTGACCCGCGTGGTGGTCCGCATCCTGGACCAGAATGACCTGAAGCCTCTCTTCTCCCCACCTTCCTACCGAGTCACCATCTCTGAAGACATGCCTCTGAAAAGCCCCATCTGCAAAGTGACTGCCACAGACGCTGACCTGGGCCAGAACGCCGGGCTCTATTACACTTTTAACACAAGGTCCAAGATCTTTGCCGTCCATCCCACCAGCGGTGTGGTCACGGTAGCTGGGAAGCTCAACGTCACCTGGCGAGGGAAGTATGAGCTCCAGGTGCTGGCTGTGGACCGCATGCGAAAAATCTCTGAGGGCAATGGCTTTGGCAACGTGGCGGCCCTCACAATCCACGTGGAGCCCGCACCCAGAAAGCCCCCGGCCATTGCCTCGGTGGTAGTAGACGGTAATGAAGGCACCACATACGCCACGGTGATGGTACATGCCAACGGCTCACCGGCAGATGTAGACTTGCTGGAGGTCGTTGGTGGTGACCCTGGAAAGCATTTCAAAGCCATCAGGTCCTACGCCCGGAGCAGTGAGTTCAGTCTGGTGTCCATCAAAGACATCAACTGGCTGGAACATCTTCATGGCTTCAACCTCAGCCTCCAGGCCAGCAGTGGGAATAGACCTTCCTTCCACTCCCAGATCAGGGGCTTTCACCTGCCACCTTCCAGGCTGGCTTCGCTCAAGTTTGAGCAGCCCGTTTACAGAGTTCGGCTTAGTGAGTTTTCCCCTCCTGGCAGTCGTGTGGTGCTGGTGACAGTCACGCCGGCTGTGCCCAACCTGCAGTATGTCCTGAAGCCATCCCCTGAGAGCACAGCGTTTAAACTTCATACGCGCACCGGCTTGATCACCACTGCGAAGCTCATGGACTTCCGTGACCAAGCCCACTACCAACTTCACGTCAGAACCTCACCAGGCCTGGCCTCCACCACGGTGCTGATTGACATCGTGGACTGCAACAACCATGCTCCCATCTTTCACAGGTCTTCCTACGAGGGCACTGTGGACGAGAACATCCCTCCGGGCACGAGTGTCCTAACTGTGACTGCCACAGACTGGGATCTCGGGGAGAATGGCTACGTCACCTACTCCATCACTGGCCCCAAGGCTGTGCCATTTTCTATTGACCCATTTTTGGGGGTCATCTCCACCTCCAAACCCATGGACTATGAGCTCATGAGAAGAATTTATACCTTCCGAGTACGGGCATCAGACTGGGGAGCCCCTTTTCGCCAGGAGAAGGAAGTGTCCGTTTCTCTTAGGCTCAAGAATTTGAATGACAACTGGCCGATGTTTGAGGAAGTCAATTGCACCACGTCTGTTCGCCAAGACTGGCCAGTGGGGAAGTCAGTGATGACGTTCTCAGCCATAGACGTGGATGAGCTTCAGAACCTGAAGTATGAGATCGTGTCAGGCAATGAACTAGAGTATTTTGATCTAAATCATTTCTCAGGGGTGATATCCCTCAAACGCTCTCTCACAAATCTTAGTCCTGGTCAACCCACTAACTATTCTCTAAAAATCACAGCCTCGGATGGCCAAAACTATGCCTTGCCCACAACACTGAATGTCACTGTGGTGAAAGACCCTCGTTTTGAGCTTCCTGTCACATGTGATAAAACGGGGGTACTGACGCATTTCACCAAGACGGTCCTCCACTCTATTGGGCTCCAGGACCAGGAGTCCAGTGATGAGGAATTCACTTCTCTTTCCACATATCAGATCAATCATCATGCCCCCCAGTTTGCAGACCACTTCCCCCAGTCCATTGACGTCCTTGAGCATGTCCCCATCGATACCTCCTTGGCCCGCCTGGCAGCCACTGACCCCGATGCTGGCTTTAATGGCAAGCTGGTCTATGTGATCGCCGATGGTAATGAGGCGGGCTGCTTTGACATCGAGCTGGAGACGGGGCTGCTCACTGTGGCTGCTCCCTTGGATTATGAAACCACCAGTTTCTACCTCCTCAATGTAACAGTGTATGACCTGGGGACTCCCCAGCTGTCCTCCTGGAAGCTGCTAACAGTGAATGTGAAAGACTGGAATGACAATGCCCCCAGATTCCCTCCTGGTGGGTACCAGCTAACCATCTCGGAGGACACAGAGGTGGGAACCACCATTGCAGAGTTAAAAACAAAAGATGCAGATTCAGAAGACAACGGGAGGGTTCGCTACACCTTGCTAAGTCCCACGGAGAAGTTCTCCCTTCACCCTCTCACTGGGGAACTTGTTGTCACAGGACCTCTGGACCGGGAATCAGAACCTCGGTATGTACTCAAGGTAGAGGCCAGGGATCAGCCCAAGAAGGGCCACCAGCTCTTCTCTGTCACAGACTTGATAATCACATTAGAAGATGCCAATGATAACTCTCCCCAGTGCATCACAGAACTCAGCAGCCTGAGGGTGCCAGAGGACCTGCCCCCAGGGACTACCCTGACCTTCCTGGATGCCTACGATCCTGACCTGGGTCCTGCGGGCGAAGTGCAATACGTCTTGTCCGATGACCTCCATGGAACCTTCCAGGTGGATTCAGGGACTGGGGCTCTGAGTCTGGAGAAAGAGTTGGACTTTGAGAGGCGGGCTGGGTACAACCTGAGCCTGTGGGTCAGTGACAGTGGGAGGCCCCTGCCGCGCAGGACCCTCTGCCGAGTGGAGGTGATAGTCTTGGACGTGAATGAGAATCTCCACCCTCCTCGCTTTGCCTCCTTTGTGTACCAGGGCCAGGTGCAGGAGGACAGCCCCCCAGGCACGCAGGTGATGCAAGTGACAGCCCACGATGATGACAGCGGCTTGGACGGGGAGCTCCAGTACTTCCTCCGGGCCGGCACCAGCCTTGCAGCTTTCAGTATCGACCCAGACACAGGTACTGGGGGTGAGGTCAGGTGGGATCGGTGGGGCCTGGGGGAAAATCTGCAGGGAAATCAGGGACTCCTCTGAAAGGAATCGGGCTGCAGGCAGAAAAGGAAGGCAGTGAGTAGGATCCTCTTTGCTGTTCTTTGATTTGAAATTCACTGTGCTGGAGGCCCATGTACCCACAGACGCATTCTCTTTATGAAGGTAACGCATGATGGCTATACATTTTTATATGACCATATATAAAAAGGAAATGTTCTTCTGTATCCCACCTGTCTCTCCAGATATAATCTTTATGAACAGTTAGGTCTGTAGTCTTCTAAATTTTTTCTCTTCGCATCTTTTTTCACGGTTCGTTTTATTATTATGAGAACACAATAGACGCTCTTTCTGAAACTTATTTTTTCATGTAATGTAAGATTAGGACATCTTATTTGTGAGTACATTTTCATCCTTTTAATTATCTGTATATTCTATGATGTAGTTTCACAATGTATATCTTCATTTATGTTCTTTTACTCATATGCGTGAGTCTCTATAGGAAAACTTTAAAAAAAAAGTGAAGTTGCTTGTCGAAAGGTAACGTACACTTCTGTGTGTACAGTAAGGGGGATCAAGACCTCATACAGGTCTACCAGGTACCCTGCCACTGAGCTGTATCCCCAGCCTGATAATGTGTGTTTTTATGATTATAGATATTCCCATTGTGCCCTTGAAAAGGGTGACAACCACTTCTTTATTCTGATTTTAGGCTTTCTAGGAAATAGGTACAATTTGGCAAATTCATACTGAGCACTTACTGCTAAGATAGCACCTTGGGGAGGTCTGAGGTGAGCCAAGCCAGGTGTTGCCTTCAAGGAGTCAACAATTTGGGGGGATTTATTTCAAGTAAAGGTCAGGATGACGTGGTAGAAAAGGCATTAGATTCGGCCAATTCCAGACCCAGTTCTTTCACTTACTTGCTGTATTATATGATCATGGCCAAGTCATCCTCCCTCTCTGGGCCTCAGTTTCCCTCTGACATCTGACATGCTCTTCCCTCCCCCTCACTCAGGCCCTGCCAGCTGGGCGATCCATGAGAGCCTAGGGTGCAAGCTACTTCTGCTTCCTATCCGACCTCCAAGCTCTAGAGCAGAGCTGGCCCATAGTAAGCACTTGTGGAGTGAGTGAGCTAAAGAATGAAGCTAGGCCCCTACAATCATGAGGTGGATGGAAAAGGGGTCAGAAATGTACTGATGAAGTCACTAACTCTTAAGCTGATGACCTGCCAGGACTTAAATAATGCGGAAAAGGGTTTAAGGACATCAGAAGGAAATCCCACTTACAGAATGTTCCTAAGTATTAGAAATGGGGTGAAAGGAGACAGAAGTAGACAGAGGAAGGTCGGTTCACCATGCTGTCTTCCAGAAGCCCTACATAAACCCGTATCAGGGGCAGAGAAAGACTGAGACATTCTGCAGTATGGGTGTTAATTCTCCTGTGTTCGGCTCAGCATCTCCCATGTCATATTGACAACTGTTCCTTCTTTCCCTGGAATACCTGTCCATAACCTTCCACAGTACAGAAAGGGGAAATACTGGACTGGTGGTTTCTGAAGCCAACTGCACTCTAAACTAATTAGGGTTTGGTGATTTCTGTCCCAGGAATGATTCAGACTCAGGCAGCTCTGGACCGAGAATCCATACCCTACTACTGGTTGACTGTACTGGCCGTCGACAGGGGTTCTGTGCCCCTCTCGTCTGTCACGGAAGTCTACATTGAGATTATGGATGTCAACGACAACCCACCCCGGATGTCCAGACCTGTGTTCTACCCCTGCATCCGGGAGGATGCACCCCTGGGTACTTCTGTGCTTCAGCTGGATGCCTGGGACCCAGACTCCAGCTCCAGAGGGAAGCTGACCTTCAACATCACCAGTGGGAACCACATGGGCATGTTCGTTATCCATCCTGTCACAGGTGAGGCCTGGAAAGTGCGGGAACGGCTATCTCTACCATGATGGTTCTCTCAGTGTGGTCAAAGAGCGTCCTCCACATCACCTGAGAGATTGTTTTTTGAAATTCAGATTCTCAGGTCCCACCCTCAAACTATTGAACCAGGATCCTGAGGGTAGGGCCCAGGGATCTGTGTTTTAACAAGACATGCAGGGGATTTCGATGAGTGACATAGTCTGCGACTCTTTTCTACAAAGTCCATGACTGGGCAAATGAGGAGAAGCTATTCTCCCCTTCCTTGCTTTGGAGCTTCTTGCTTTAGGTTGCCCACAGATTGAGACAGGACTCAGACATCCAAATGCTCCCAAACTCACTCCTCCCCCGAGTCACAAGCCATAGGTCAGGTGCAACCTCATCCAGCACCAGACCATCTCAGCCTTGCCAACAGGCGGTGGCAGTAGGGACCTTTACCCTGAGTCAGCCCTCTCACTCAGGACTGTTCTTGGCCCAAGGTCATGTGGGGAAGGGTGGTTTAGAGGAATCCAAAGGCCACAGCTTGGCAGCAGTAAGCCAGGTACAACCTACAGAGGGATCCTGCTTGACTTCCACAAGCTTTAAACAATGGTTTTTGAAGTTATGGCCAACATTTAAACCTTGGCAAATTCTACAGAGCATTCCAGATTTCTGATCGCTCTTTAAAAACAGGAAAGTGTCCGGCTACACTGTCTTCATAGTCCCACAATATACCAGAGGCTGACAGTGGCTCCCTGTGCAGAGCAGGCGCACATCCTGTAGTCTCCAACGGCCCTTACTGCCCCGTACTGTCTTGTTCCCAGCCAGCTCCCTTGCGTACGCCACCTCCCTGCCTCCGGTTGGCGCTGATGTTGGAGACCCACTTCCCAGTGCTGTGGACAGTTCTCTAAGGCCACGTCACATCCTCCGCATGGGGAATAAACTGCAATCTTATGGGGGAGAAGGCTGATACTTTCTCCTTAGAACCTAATATCTTATTCCATCCTTTACTCTTGTTCCTGAAGGGCTTCTCACTGGTCCTTAAGACAGAGGGGACTGGGAGGGGCCAGAGCCTGGGAGGTGGGCACAGACACTGGGTGGGGAATGCAGTGTCTGTTTGCCCCAGTGACATTTGTTGGGATACTTCCTGTTAACCTTTGACCCAGGATATGGATTAGTCATAGGAGGACGCTTTTTCCCTGGAAAATAGGCCTAAGCTGGTTCTCTACCTGGGGCTGCCCTGTCCCTTGCTTTTCGGAAGAGCTATGATGTCTCTCACCTAGGGCATTAACTTCTTAACTTCTTCCAAATCCCTGTTCTGTTTACTATCAACAGTTCCCTGATAGCAAGTCTGGCAAAATGCCCTAAATGGCAAAAATGTTCCTAATTCTCCTGCAGTTGAGGAGTAAAGATTTTTATTAGCATAACTTTTTTTTTTCTGTACCGGGGATTGAACTCAGGACCTTGTGCTTGCGAGGCAGGCGGTGGAACCACTGAGCTAAATCCCCAGCCCTAGCATAACTTTTTTAAAAATGAAAGAATCTATCAGCCATGAGCCCCTAGCCCTCCTTCCTCATCTCTGCCATTGCTCTGCTCCACTTCCCTGCTAGGGCAGCTTGGATGGTTTCTCTGTGCCTTAAGATAGACTCATAGCTTGCTGTGTCCCACAGACTCACGGGTGAACTGGCCAGCTGGCCTCTCTGGCTTTACCTTGCCCCTGTCACACTGCCAGCCACATGGCTGCTCCCAACACAGGCCCTTGCCGTCCTTGTTCCCCCATCAGGAGCTTCCGCTCCTCTCCTTTGGTCTGCTTAGCTTCTACCGTTCCTTCAGATCCCAACCCAGCTGTTCTTTCCTGTGGGAAGTGTTCACTGACACCATAATACACTTCCTGGCATCCCTTCCTCCCCTTTGTAACCCTAATGATACAGCCTATTTGGATCATCACTCCATTAATTATCCATGTCTCCTAGACTTCAAAGGTTCCCCTGAAAATTTTCCCCACCAGAATTACCTTCGGTACCTGGCACCCAGTAGGAGCTCAGTAAATTATTGTTAGATGAATGACTCTCTTGGCATCGTCCACAATCTATTAAGCTCAAGATAGGTTCACTTACTGCACTTAGCAAATCTTTAAAGGTGTCTGCCCTTACAAGGCTTTTAAACAATCCGTGGTGGAGAGGTTGAAGAAATAAACCATGCTTCTGGTCTTAGAGAATTCAGTCCACCAGGAGCATGAGTATTTGGATATAAATATAGAACCAGCGCAGAACACAACAAATAAAAAGTGCGTGGATGTGGTGCCGTGGCTGGTCAGAGGAGGAGAAAGCTGTCCAATGTGGAGGATCTGCAGTGGCTTCCGGAATAGGACTGGGTATGTGCAGCTGAAGGCTGGGGCAGATTTGACCTGCCTCAGCCCGGGAGGGGATGAGGGCAAGGAGGACGACATGGACAGTAGCCAGGAAGGAGGAAGACAAGGCCCCTGCTGAGGATAAAGCAAGCAGGTCACTCTTCTGAGCTGTATTTCTCATTCCGAATGGTGAGGTCTTGAGAAAGTTATGTCAGAGCACGTCTTAGTCTGTGTTGTGTTGCTGTAACTGAAGGCCACAAACTGGGTAACTTACAGTAAGTCAGGTTTGTTTAGCTCGAGGTTCTGGAGGCTGGGAAACCAAGGCAAAAGTGGAAGTCTCCATGAGTTGAGCCATGGGGGCTCTGAACTATGGCAGCAAGGGAGAGAAGGTGCCAGTTCTCTGCTGCGGTGATCTGAGAGGAGCCCGCTTCTTGCTGGCCATGGAGACAGCTGGTACGAAGAGCTAGGTGAACGGTAATGACAGTAACATGAGCTCAAAGTGGAATGGGAAGTTCAGAACTTAAAGCCAAAGGAGCTTGAGGTTCACCCAATTCAACTTTCATGGAGGAAGTCTGAGGTTGAAGGACCTCAAAAGAGGAAGAGAAATAGGCAGGAGCTTCCTCGAGTCAAGGCAAGGCCCTGAGGGCATGAGTGGCTGCCCTAAAAGAAGCCCAAGGCTGGATGTGAGAGTTCACAGTGTCCTAGGAAGGGAAGGGAGGAGGCGGGGCCCGACAATGGCACCTTGTCAGAGTGAAGGCCTTGCGATTCCAAAGGCCCAATTGATCTCCAGCTCCACTGTGAGCCCTGCCCCTCCCCCACCCAACAGCTGGTCTCAGGATTAACTCGGTCACCAGGGCGCCTTCAGATGAAGAAGACAGCAACCCAGTCCACGCTGGCTGGGGTGAGACAAGGGATGTCGGTCAGCTCTGCCCTGCCTGCTTTCCTCTGAGTTGGCGGTCTTCTCAGGAGTCTTGCTCTCAGGTTCCACGTTACCTTCCCAGCATGCCCAGCAGCAAAAGAGAGTCTTTCCTAGAGCTTTTCACAGAGGTCCCAGAGCTGATTCTCATGAAACAGACCAGCCATCTTTCTGCAGTGGCACCCGTGAAGAGGGCTGGGTAATCTACGCTGATTGGCCAGGCTTAGGCTGCACACCTTGCCTCAGACATGGGGCAAGTCATCCTCACACGGATCACAAAGGCCTGAAATCAGGAGTGATGTAGTTTACTCTCAGGAGAACTGGAGTCTTTTTATTAAAAGAAAGGGAGAACATATGATGGATATCCAAGTGCAAACATACTCCTTGAATTTCAGGGCCATCTCAAAATCGCACCCTAGTATTGCTGATAGTCATCTTTATGCACCTGCAACTCTAACCGTTGTTTCCGGCTGAGCACCATTCTGACTGAGTGGACATCTGATTGGTCAGGCATCTGGGCAGGCATCTGATTGGGAGAACATCTGATTGGAAGAACATCTGATTGGGCAGGGATATGATTGGGTGGGATTCTGATTGGGCAAGCATCTGATAAGGCAAGCATCTGATTAGGTCAGCATCTCATTGGGCAGGTTTTTGATACTGCTGGTTGCTGAGTTGTTGACCCATTGTCCCTGCCTAATGGTGACAGGTGGATGTAAGTGGGAATTTCAGTTAACGCATTATCGCTGTTGTCCTCTCCCATTTTTTCATTTTCCCTTCCCTCCCCTCCCCGCAGTGTTCCACTTCCCCTTAACATACTTGTTCCCCAAAGACCAGAAGAATTCCCATCTGGGATTGGAGCGTCATCCTGAACTCACCTCAGTGAAGGGGCCGTGGGAGTCCTTTCTTCATGTCTTCTTCCTACATCTTTCCCCCAGGTCTCCTTTCCACGGCCCGGCAGCTGGACCGAGAGAGCAAGGATGAGCATATCCTGGAGGTGAGAAAGGTCACAGAATTCACTCGAGAGCTTCCTGAGGCCAAGTTGCAGATTGTTTACAGGGTGGAGGCATCCTCAAGCCACACACATACCTGTGGCTGAGCAGACAACTGGGCTCAGAGAGGTGGAAGTACTTGAGCTCAGCCTTGCTGTGGTTGGTGGTGAAGATTGTCAGGTCTTTGCTGGCTCCTCAACAACGAGACAGGAAAGAATCTGAAACAGTGTCCAGGCTGGGCAGGCACCACACATTGATTAGTAATGCCTGACGGGAGTGCAGGAGGGAGGGGTAGAATACATGTGCTATCTGTTTGTCAGGTCTGCTTTCCAGTCCATCCCCTAAGAATTACTCAAGGTTAAGCACTAGGGTAGTAGCGGAGCCAGCATGAAAACATTTGTCTTCTAGGTCTGTGTTTTTTCTAGTGTATCTTTAAAGTCATATAGGCGTCCGTGGTGCCCATTCCAATGGGATGCTTCAGTCTGTGATGTAGAGGGCATTAAATCAGAAGAGAAGGCTGCTAGGTGGGGAATCTAGCTTTTCCTCCTCTCTGATGAGGACCAGGTATCTATTTTAGTCCTAAAGGCATCAGGAGGGAGGGATGCATATTCCTCAGCACATTCTCTTTACCTGAAGGTAAAGGTAAGGAATGGGTATTATTAGTAAGCAACAAATAAACAGCCTTCTAGGGCTCGTAGGGCCTGAAGCATTGCTCAAAGTCAGTTACAGACATTTACCTTTAAACACTAAAATATTTTTTAAATCCTGACCCATCGTGAGTGGGGTATTTCCATCCCGTTGCCTACCATGCCCTTGCAGCTACTGATGCCTGGGACCATTGGTCCCTACACAGAACAGCTCCTGGTTCTGAAGTTGCCTTGGGGCCTTTTCCCTCATTTGGGGCCTTGGGCTGAGTGTCTGGCTCAAAGGTTCTACTCATCTCTGAATAAACACCTTCTAACCTTGAGCTGAAGGGAACCAGAGAACAAAACTTCTGAGAATTACAAGCAAATAAAAAGCAAATAGTCTCTGAGAAATGGCCCTGGGCCTTCCCCATAAAGGCCTGAGACTCTGAACTTACCTGGGGACTCTAACTTTGGCTTCTTCCAGTTCTCGAAGGTTCTTTTCTCTTTTCTTGGGAGCTTTCCTGTGGTTGAGATTAGTAGAGAGCTGAGATCCAAGTGGTTGAGCTTATGGTAATAAAATGAATGAACAAATGGAGTGTGATTTGCATGCTGACAGTAGTGGCGGGTGCAGTGGGTGATGGTACCCAGACACTGCTTTGCATTTGGCCACTCAGGTGCTCATGTTCAATTTTGTCCCCAGGTGACCGTGCTGGACAACGGGGAGCCGTCCCTGAAGTCCACCTCCAGGGTGGTGGTGTGCATCTTGGACATCAATGACAACGCACCTGTGTTCTCCCACAAGCTCTTCAGTGTCCGCCTCCCAGAAAGGCCAAGCCCAGTGTCCCCTGGGGCTGTGTACAGGCTGGTAGCTTCAGACCCAGACGACGGTCTCAATGGCAGCATCACCTACAGCATTGAGGAGAGTGATGAGGAAGGCTTCAGTATCGATCCGGTTACAGGTGTGGTGTCATCCAGCAGCACCTTCACGGCGGGGAAGTACAACATCCTAACGGTGAGCAGATGGATGGAGGCCGGAAATGGGGGGGGGCACCACTGGCAGTGACTTCATCCCAGGATGCAGGAGGAGGGAGGCAGCAGGTGGCACAGTAGAAGTGGTGCGTTTTTTTCTTGGCCTTCTCCCAGAGAACTGAGAGTCTTGGCTTTCACCAAAGGATCAGATTCTGGGCCTTTCTCTTTGAGTGCAGGAAGGGCCTGGGAAATCCTCTGTTTGTTTGTTTGTGTCTTTGGTGGTGGTGGGGCTGATGCTGGGGATTGAACTCAGCACCTTGGCTTCACACTGAGCTATGCCCCCAGCCCTCTGTTTATATTATTTTATTTTGAGACAAGCTAAGTTGTTTTCCAGGCTAGGCTCAAACTTTTGATCCTCCTGCCTCAGCCTCCCAGAGTGCTGGCATGCACCACCATCCCTGACTCCTCTCTGCCCTTATAGACAAGGATTTCACGAAAGTCACAAGGGCTTTGGCATCAAGATATACCTAGGTTTTGACCCTAGCCCTGCCATTCTACACCTATGTGACCTTAGACAAGTGATTTAACTCTTTTGAGCCTTTTAGCACCTGCCTACTTGGGATAAGAACATTTTTCTTGTAGGAAGCCCGTGTATCGGTGGGTTTTCAGGCAGTGGGCTCTCATGTCAGACAGCCTGAATCCAAGCTCAGCTTTGCTGCTGTCCAGGTTTGTGATCAGTTAGGTGAATTCACCATGGTGAGCCCTGGTCTCCCCCTTAAGAGGGAAATGATAATAGTGTCTCTCCTAGGGCTACTGTGAAGATTAAATTAGATGCTACCCACAAAGCTCTAGGTGTAAGGCCAGATAACAGTGAGAACTCAATAAATTCCAGCTTACTGTGTTTATGATTGTTGTAAAGAACACATGTTTGAGGTAAATGTTTCAATTTTTTAAAAAAAATTACAAAGACACTGCCATTAATCTCCCTCAGAATACTCTGTCTCACTTCAAACACACTTATCCCATTATTCATGCCATTTTCTGGAGCAGTTCTGGATATCCTCTTTCGTGAGTGTCTCTACAAGATGTGATCACAAATATGGTGAATGCTGCTGCTGCATGGTATCCAGCAAAAAGGCAGACCTATAAAATCATGATGGTGTGTCCTCATTCACCTCAGTCACTGGATCTGGCACTGTACAACTTCCGGCCCTTCCCTAATATCACAATAACCGTGGAAGGTAAACATTTTGAATTGATTCAGAACACGGAGGCAGCCACAACAGTGCAATTGAAGACACTCACAAAAGACTTCCAGAACTGTTCCAGAAAAGTGGCAGTAATGATGGGATGAATGTGTTCAAAGCAAGAGGACTGATTTAAAGGGGATTAATGGCCGCCACGTGAAATTTTACAGTAATTATTACAGTAAAAGTACTGTAATAATTTTTAAAATATATACCTTCACTGTATTTTTTGATCAAACCTCATTATGTGAAGACCATTTTGGGAACTAACACCCAGTAAGCCTTCAGTTAGTGGCCCCTCTTATTGCTTTTCACTAAGCAAGAAGTTCTGAAGTGTAGGTTCTATGTCTTGCTCACTACTGTGCCTGCTGCAGCTAGCAGGATGCCTCACAGCAAGCCCTCCAATGGGAGTTGAATAAATGAGTGGATGAGAGACGCTAGCGATAGTTCAGCTCTGGCGTTGGGCTCTTTTCAGATCAAGGCGACAGACAGCGGGCAGCCACCGCTCTCCACCAGCGTGCGGCTCCACGTGGAATGGATCCCCCAGCCTCGGCCATCCTCCATACCGCTGGCCTTCGACGAGATGCCCTACAGCTTTACAGTCATGGAGACAGACCCCGTGAACCACATGGTGGGGGTCCTTAGTGTTGAGGGCCGACCCGGCCTCTTCTGGTTCCACATCACAGGTGAGGCCCACAGAGGACCTCCCAGCCATACAGGCCAGCCAGGGAACCACCTTCCAGTCCCCTCTCGAGGTCATGCTCTTCTTTTGACCCTGAACGGTGATGACCCCTTCCCTGGTTCCCCAGGTCAGAGGGAAGGAAGAAAGACACTTCTGCCAAGCTATCCTTCCATTATGGACACGACCCCAGCGGTAACCCCAGTCAGAGGTGGGCGTGTCTCCTCACTTCACACACCTGGGAGCTGAATGGTCCAGGAGGGCCCAGAGGAGAAAGCACAAAACCAGTGTAGAACTGTTGTTGATGATGAGCCTGCGACCGTGCTCAGTGTGCTGGTCCCAGGTTCCCTTCTGATGATCAGGGAAAATCTCATTCTTGTTCTTTTGTGGGGGCGCAGGATGCTGAGGATTGAACCCAGGGCCTCCCCCCATGTTTATAAGTGCAGACTTCATCACTAAGCCACACGTTCTAGCCCAGCAATGGTGAACCTTTTAGAGCTTTCGATAACAAACAGCAGCTCACTGCGGCATATGTGCCCTAGGTTCACCACCACTGCTTGAGCCCCATGCTCATCCTCATTCTAGAGACACCTGGGTGCAGGCTCCGATTCCTGTCTCAATATCAAAATTTGTAAAGAATATCTGAGGGGCATGGAGTCCTTTGGGACTCGCACGAATGCTTAGGTCTTCCTCTAAGAATGTTGTATGCACGTGAGCACACCCGCAAATGTAAACCTGCATCCAGATTTTGAGGTTTTATAGACTCTCTGAAACCTATCCAGGGATTTTAAGTTACAAGTCTGTAAGAGTTTCAGCGTCCATGTGAACCATGAAATCCTACTGCAGAGTTTTCTGCCCACACTCAGGGACAGGATGGGATATCCTCTTGACCTCCTGGTCTTACTTCCAGTTCCAATTCCTGCTCTTTTAATTGTTTGTTTTCTTCCATGTATAATTAATGCTGGTACCTTATAGAACATTTAGAAAATACCAATGAATGCAGAGAAGAAAACAAAAATTACCTAAAGTGCAGCCACCAGAAGATAATCTTTTGTTACAATTTTGATGTGTTCTTTTCACATAGGCAGACATACATACATAGGATTATATTTAAATATTTTATAATATATAATATATAGCCTATGTGTCACATATAATATGTAAAATATATATAATAATGTATACAGAGTATATGTTTATAATCTACATACTAGGGTATGTAGGGTTCTGGTAAAATATTGTTTTAGCATACTTTAAATACATATTAACATGAAACATATATAATATAGAGTTTTTTTCTTTTCCCTTTTGTGGTGTTGGGGAGTGAACTCAGGCCCTTCCCCCTGAACTATGTCCCCATTCCTTTTCTCATTTTCTGTTTTGAGACCCGGACTCACTGAGTCACTAAGTCCCCCAGTTTGGGCTTACACTGTTGATTTTCCTGCCTCGGTCCCCCAGGGTGCTGGATTACAGGCCGGCGCCCCCACGCCTGGAGGTATGTTTTAAATACAACCTATTTCCACGGCACTAAAGAGAATCCTATCAGAAGACACGTAAACAGCATCATCCTATTCTATACTTTGCATTCTTCTACTTCACTAGATCAATTTCTTCTTACTGAACGGAGCTACTGTCATCTTCTCCTGTGTCCTGGCACAGAACTGTTGGAGGTTGTTTGCATAGTTCGGTAGGAAGTTATGAAGGGTTCCGTTGCTCCTGCTTGTCTCATGCCGGAGTCAGAATAGTCTATAGCAAAGGTAGCGCACTGTTTCTGCATGGGCTTGGGATCGCTGACCGCCCACGCTCCCATCAGTCAAAGTCGGTCTCTACCCCGCGCTGCAGATCTGTGGTCAAGGCCCGGGTTATGCAGCTGCCGCCCCAATCACTGAGCTTGTGTATTCTTTCTCCCACTCCCGCTCCAGGTGGGGACAAGGACATGGACTTTGACATTGAGAAGACCACCGGCAGCATTGTCATTGCCAGGCCCCTTGATACGAGGACAGGGTCCAGCTACAACTTGACCGTGGAGGTGACCGATGGCTTCCACACCATTGCCACTCAGGTTAGAGGCCTCGGTTGGCAGCCCCTGGGCTGGGAGACGTGGGAGCCCCTGCCCCCAGCTGGAGTGAGGCTGTGATGACATTCGAGGGTATGGTTTACTCCCAAGAATACTAAATCTGGAATCAACCCTCTAGGTGCCGATATATGCTCTACCTCTGTGATCCTGAGAGCATTTTTGCTCCCACTCTGGATCCCTGTAAAATGAGAGGATTCGTCCAAATGAGCATTTGAACTAAGGATTTAACACCATAGGGGCTACCGTGGGTATGAGGAATGGTGGTTAGGCAATGAGCTGCTAGATTTCTACTCTGCCTTCAGCTGCAGTTTTATCTGTCTTCTGTGTTAGGTTTTGACGTAACATTGCATTTGAAGAAGAGACTCGTTAACAAAATGTTTCATTTTGAAAACCACTAGAAAGCACGCTGTCTAAAAGCCTTGGCTGCTGCGTACGGGCACAGTGCTAGGCGTGGATGCCAGTGGGATCCAGACACTCACAGCAGCTGGCCGCACGGAGCCTGCAGCCCACCCTCCCTGTACTGTCCTCCCCAGGTCTACATCTTCCTGATTGCCAACGTGAACCGCCACCGGCCTCAGTTTCTGGAGGCTCATTACGAGGTCAGCGTCCCCCAGGATACCCTCCCTGGGGTCGAGCTCCTTCGAGTCCAGGCCACAGATCAAGACAAGGGCAAAGGCCTCATCTATACCATACAGGGCAGCCAGGACCCAGGGAGTGCCAGCCTCTTCCAGCTGGACCCGAGCACTGGTATCCTGGTGACGGTGGGGAAGCTGGACCTGGGCTCAGGGCCCTCCCAGCACACGCTGACGGTTATGGTGAGCAATCTGGGAGATGGGAAGGGTGGGCTTGCATGCAGGGCACGGGCTGGACACAGAGGCTGCCACAGCCCATGATGCCAGTCATGAGTCCCAGCGGTGATACTGCACAGCTGGCCAGCGGCGTCTTCCATCAAGGATGCCTAGAGCGCAGGTGGATGGGGTGGAAATTCCTGTCAGCTTTGGCTTTCTCTAGACTCCTCCCAAACAACAGGGCTTTCCCTGCTCTGTGACTTCGTGACTACAGTGTGGATTCCCACAGTGTCAGACTAGAAGGGATGGAGACCCTCCCTCCCAGGGCCAGCCCTAGGGCCAGGCATGTAGGATACAAGATTTAAGGGGGACTTATCTCCAGGTCATGTGCCTGCATTTGTATGACCTTAAGAATGAAAGGCAGCTTCAATTTTACACCTTGCATTATCTCAGGTGTTGCAGCCCTGACCCCAGCCATTTCTCTAGTCCTACACCCAGGCTCACAGAGGAAGAGCTACTGGCTCACTGTCATACAGTCATTTTGATGAAACCAGAAATAGGGCCTGGTGTCCTGTCTCGGTCAGGGTTCTCATAAGCTAATGTACCATCCTCTGACACATTAATATATGTTAAAGACCCAGAAGTCCTGCAACAAAGAAAACTGTTTAACTTCATTTAACTTAGTGATCCCCAAATTTACTTGACCACAGACTTTTTTGTGTTTTCCTGCAAAACATTAACCTCTTGAAGAACTGATATTCTCTGAGGCCTAATCTAGAAAATGCTACTTTTCTGCCCGTGTTAGCTTTCTGTTGCTGTGACAAAACAGCTGACATAAAATCAACTTAAAGGGGAAAGGTTTATTTTGGCTCACGGTGTCAGAAGTTTCAGTTTATGGTCTTCGAGCTTCATTTCTTTAGGCCTGGAAAGGCAGAAACATCATGGCAGGATGGAATAATGGAGGAAATAATGGAGGTAAGCAGAAAGAGGAAAAGACTCAAAGACTGGGGGACTAGGGAAATGTGTAGTTCCCAAGGCCACACCCTCACGAACCACTCTCTTCCACTAAGCCCCACCTCCTGTTTCCATCACTTCCCAGTGATGACATCAAATGACGATCTCATCAGTAGATGACCGGATGATTGAGTCATGAGTGGATGATTGAATCAGAGCCTTCATGACCAGTCACTTCCCCAAAGCCCATCAGCAGCCAAGCCTTCAACATAATGAGCCTTTGAGGGACATATTGGATCCCAACCCTAATCTTTTCTACTAAAGTAGGGTAAAGTACAAAGCCTAATAATCAGTAATTGGTAAATCTATTTATAAAAAGGAAAAAAAGCATAAAATATGAAGCCAGCTTGAAAGGAATACACAGAGCTACAACTGGGTATCGTTTTGTTGGCATGGAATTACTCTAATCCTGCCTCCTCCTTTTCCATTTGTTGCTCCCTGTTTACCCCTTGGGCCCACAGGTCCGAGACCAAGAGATGCCCATCAAGAGGAACTTTGTGTGGGTGACCATTCGTGTGAAGGATGGAAACCTCCACCCACCACGCTTCACCCAGCTCCATTACGAGGCAAGAGTTCCTGACACCATCGTGCCCGGCTCAGAGGTGCTTCAGGTCCGAGCTGTGGATGCTGATCGGGGAGCCAATGCTGAGGTCCACTATTCCCTCCTGAAAGGTGAGACGGCTGGCCAGGGTTCAGAAGATGGGGAAACATGCTTTGGAGATCAAGGAAACCACAGAAGCATGACTTTGGAAATTAACCAAGTACCAGGCTCTCTCAGCTTTGGCAAATCACAAACAGTTCTAGAGCTTTCCCTCAAACCACAGTGACCTAAATTAACATACTTCCAAAGATAGTAACAACAATAACAAAAAGACCATTCAAGTTACGGGAGAATTTACATGTATATGATATAAACCACCAATGACCGTGCATGCAGAAGATGCTTATGAACCCCAAGTAACATTGTAAATTGTGATAACTTCATGCATATCCATTAGAAGGGATGGACAAATAAATATTAGGGGTCTGGCATGGTGTTAGGAGTACCCTATATTTCCTACTAAGGCCACATAACAACTTGATACCTGTTATATGGTTTTCTTTATCTCAAACATGGAAATAATATTAGCCTTCCTAGAAAGTTGTTATTGTTGTAAAAATTCAAAGAAAAAATGTATGTTAATGCCTGTTATAAATTGTAAAATATTATACACATGCTAGGGGCAATTACTTGATATCATTAATGAGTATTAATTACAAGTAGTTAATGTAACAAATCAATATTATAACAAATTGATAATATCCAATGTCCAATGGATTATTAGTGATGGTTTTAATAGTTGATAAGGTACAATTAATATTGATTAAAGATAATTATTAAGTGCTACTAATTGCACATTATCAACTATTAAAATTAGATGCTACAGAAGGACAAAGATGAATATGACTTCCTCACTACCCTCACGGAGAGCATCGTCAAGAAATCAGAGCTGTTTGACATTTTCTTTTTGGAAGAAATGGTTGCCATTTGACAAAAGTCTATTCATCCCTGGAGAAGAGTAACACAAATTAGAATGCATTAATTGTTTATCTTTTATGAGTTATAAAATCAGCTCTTTTATATCATCTCATTGACAACCCCATTTATGGAGACAATAGCTTTATTTTTATAGATAAGATTAGTTTTAACATATTCTTCTGGCTATAGAAGCAACTCTTGCTCATTTTTGAAAGCATGACATTATACAGAAAGGTATAATGAAGAGCATAACACATAGCCATAATTGTCATAACCCAGAGATACCAACTGTGTATATTTCCCTGGCATCTTTTTGTGGCATCTTTTGTGGTATTGAGATCCCAGTGGACCTACAATTTTGTGCTGTTGGTTTTTTCTCTCAGCAGTATAACATGAGAAAGAAGATAGAATTATATTTAGGTAGTGTAGCTAACTACTGTTTTTAAATCTGCTCTTTATGCATGGGAACTGTGCTCTTTGACAGAACTTGGGATCTGTGTCACAGGCCACCTAACCAATCAATTGGAGAAGACTTCTAAGGGTTAGAAGAGTCATAACTGGTCATGGTGGCACACACCTTAATCTCAGCATTCTGGGAGGCTGAGGCAGGAGGATCAAAAATTTGAGCTTAGCCTGGGCAACTTAGCAAGACCCTATCTAAAAAAATACCAGACTAAAAAGGGCTGGGGATATAGTTCAATGGGAAGGCTCTGTTTCACTCCTCAACACCACCAAACACAAACCAAGAAAAGTGGGAGAGTCAGGCTGAAAATTTTATAATGAAGCTCAGCTGTCTGCTTTGCCACAGAAACTGTAAAATAATTGTAGCATGTGTTAAAGGGAATGAAAAATGTCTCCTGGAGTGTAAGACCTGTACTTCCAGTGGTGAGCAAACTGGTCTGGGAGTTTGTCAGCCATGGCACTGAACAGGCGAGCCAGCCTGGAGAACGCACTTGCCTTTTGATTCTCCTTCAGGCTTCCTGGTCAAATAAAGACAAAGCCTCAGTTGGGTACCAGAATTCCCTTAGTCTTCTCTGCCACTTTGTTACTCTTTGTTTTTATCAGAGAAAGAGGGTAGGTCTCAGGCCCGCACACTTTAGATTCTTTCTAGATGTTTTTCATTGATTTGTTTTATGGTAGCTTCTGATTGATGATGTGTGATAATTTTCTTAAAGTAGCAATATAAAGTTGTCTTTTAAAAATATTTATCAAATTTTAAGAGTAAATTAATTCAGAAGGAAATATCCAGTAAATAATATTATAAAATCATGTGAGCAGTGGCTGGATGGTAAAAAATTATTAAGGTGATGTGAGAATGCCTTAAAGTTTTTTTTTTGGTACCAGGGATCGAACTCAGGTCCTTCCGCTTGTGAGGCAGGCAGTGAAACCACTGAGCTAGATCCCCGGCCCAAAATGCCTTAAATTTTAAAAAGATAAGTATGACCTAGGTGTGGTGGCACAAAGCTGTAATCCCAGCCCTCTGGGAGGCTGAGACAGGAAGACTGTGAGTTCAAGCCTAGCCTGGACAATTAGTGACTTCCCAAGACCCCGTCTCAAAAAAAATTAAGGGCCAGGGATTTAGCTCAGTGGTTCCGGCACCTGCCTCGAAAGTGGAAGGACCTGAGTTCAATCCCTGGTACCAAAAAAAATTTAAAAAGGGTTGGGAGTGGCAGTGTGAAGGCCCTGAGCTCAATGCCCAGTATCAAAAAAAGAAAAGAAGGGAGAGAGGGAGGGAGAGAGGAAGGGAGTCGGGGGAGAGAGAGAAAGAGAGAGAGAGAGAGGCAGGAGGGGGAAAGTGCTGATATAGAAGTGTCATGATCTGGGTATTCTTTTCAGTCTCTCTCCCCAGACTCCTAAGACCAGCAAAGGACTTTCCTACTAGACACCACAGAGGGAACAGACAAGGTCGTTTTAAAAATCCTTATCCATTTTGGCAGTCTGTGACTCCATATTTATAGTTTCATCTTTTAAGTATATAACCAGATAACCAAAGCTATTACAAAGCTATGTAAATGATGGCTACCCTGCTCGCTAATGTAACTGAAGCTTACTAAAGCTTTTCCTATGAAAGTCTCCACTTACAGTCGGGTGCCATGTGCTTTTCCGACAAAGTATAGGTCTCCTTTCTAGGCCTCAAAGACCTATTACAGTTTTGGTTTGTAGCTTACGTTGGGTCCCAGAGATTTCGTAGTGATTAAAGCTGCCATTTATGAAGCACTTACTATGTGCTCCATATTAAGAATTGTATAAAGTGGATACCTACCTTGTCCGCTATATCACAGTAAATCTAGGGTGGCATAGAAGGCAGATTTTTCTGTCCTGGTTTTGTGATAGCCTCTTCATTGGTCTAGAAAGCCTAGTTGGTTTCTCTTGAGAGCATAACAAATTTCACTTCCTCTTGCCTTCTGTTTCAGGGAACAGTGAGGATTTATTCAACATCGACATCCTGCAAGGCATCATCACTGTAGCCCAGAAACTCAATCAGGCAAATCACATCCAGCACACTTTGATAGTGAAGGCAGAAGATCAGGGCTCCCCGCGGAGGCATGACCTGGCTACCGTGGTCGTTCACGTCTGTCCCTCAGACAGCAGTGTCCCCATGTTTTCGAGCACTGAGTACTTTGTGGAAGTCCCAGAATCAATCCCGATTGGCTCTCCAATCTTCCTGGTCTCTGCCACAACACGCTCTGAAGTTACCTACGAGTTAAGAGAGGGAAACAAGGATGGCGTATTCTCCATGAACTCATATTCTGGCCTCATTTCCACCCAGAAGAACTTAGACCATGAGAAAATCTCCTCTTACCAGCTGAAAATCCGAGGCAGCAATATGGCGGGTGCATTTACTGACATCATAGTGCTCGTTTACATCATTGATGAAAATGACAATGCACCCATGTTCTTAAATTCAACCTTTGTGGGCCAAATTAGTGAAGCAGCTCCATTGTACAGCATGATCATGGATGAAGACCACAATCCCTTTGTGATTCGTGCCTCTGACAAGGACAAGGAAGCTAATTCCTTGTTGGTCTATAAAATTTTGGATCCAGAGGCCTCAAAGTTTTTCAAAATAGATCCTAGTATGGGAACCCTAGTCATTATATCTGAGATGGATTATGAGAGCAGGCCCCTCTTCCAGTTCAATGTCGATGTCCATGACCAAGGGAGCCCCATCTTATTTGCACCCAAGCCTGCCAAGGTCATCATCTATGTCAGAAATGTGAATGACTGTCCTCCCAGGTTCGCAGAGCAGATATATGAAGTAGCAGTCGTGGGACCCGTTCATTTTGGGATGGAGCTCCTCACCGTGCGGGCCAGTGACGATGACTCAGAAGTCACCTATAGCATCAAAATTGGCAATGCTGACGAAGCTGTTGCCATTCATCCAGTCACCGGCTGCATATCTGTGCTGAATCCAGCTATTCTGGGACTCTCTCGGAAGCTCACCATTAGTGCTTCTGATGGCCTGTATCAAGATACTGCATTGGTAAAAATTTCTCTGACCCAAGTCCTTGACAAAAGTTTGCGGTTTGATCAGGATGTCTATAGGGCAGCAGTGAAGGAGAATTTGCAGGACAGAAAGGCACTGGTGATCCTCGGTGTCCAGGGCAGTCATCTGAACGATGCCCTTTCCTACTTCCTCTTAAATGGCACCGATCTGTTTCACGTGGCCAAGTCGGCAGGTGTGTTGCAAACAAGAGGAGTGGCCTTTGACCGAGAGCAGCAGGACATCCACGAGGTGGTGGTGGAAGTAAGGGATGATCGGGCTCCTCAGCGGGTGGCTCAGGCTCTGGTCAGAGTCTCTGTTGAGGACATCAATGACAACCCTCCTGAGTTTCACCATCTGCCCTATTACACAATCATTCAAGATGGCACAGAGCCAGGGGATGTCCTCTTTCAGGTGTCTGCCACTGACAAGGACTTGGGGGCAAATGGGACAGTCACGTATGCATTTACAGAAGATTACACATATTTCCGAATTGACCCCTATGTTGGGGACATATCACTCAAGAAACCCTTTGATTATCAAGCTTTAAATAAATATCGCCTCAAAGTCATTGCTCGGGATGGAGGAACTCCACCCCTCCAGACTGAGGCAGAAGTACTTGTCACTGTGAGAAATAAATCCAACCCACTGTTTCAGAGTCCTTATTACAAAGTCAGAGTCCCTGAAAACATCGCACTCTATACCCCCATTCTCCACACCCAGGCCCGGAGTCCTGAGGGACTCAGGCTCATCTACAACATTGTGGAGGAGGAGTCACTGATGCTCTTCACCACTGACTTTAAGACTGGTGTCCTCACAGTGACAGGACCTCTGGACTATGAGTCGAAGACCAAACATGTGTTCACAGTCAGAGCCACGGACACAGCTCTAGGGTCGTTTTCTGAAGCTACAGTGGAAGTCTTGGTAGAGGACGTCAATGATAACCCTCCAACATTTTCCCAGTTGGTGTACACCACTTCGGTCTCAGAAGGTTTGCCTGCTCACACCCCCGTGATCCAGCTCTTGGCTTCTGACCAGGACTCGGGACAGAACCGTGATGTCTCCTATCAGATCGTGGAGGACGGCTCAGATGTTTCCACATTCTTCCAGATCAATGGAAGCACAGGGGAGATATTCACACTTCAAGAACTGGATTACGAAGCCCAGCAACACTTTCATGTGAAAGTCCGGGCCATGGACAGAGGAGATCCTCCACTCACTGGTGAGACCCTTGTGGTTGTCAATGTGTCCGACGTCAACGACAACCCCCCAGAGTTCAGACAACCTCAGTATGAGGCCAGTGTCAGCGAGCTAGCCACCTGTGGACACCTGGTTCTTAAAGTCCAAGCTCTTGACCCAGACAGCAGAGAGGCCACCCGCTTGGAGTACCTGATTCTTTCGGGCAATCAGGACCGGCACTTCTCCATTAACAGATCATCGGGTGTAATTTCTATGTTCAACCTTTGCAAAAAGCAACTGGACTCCTCTTCTTACAGTTTGAGGGTAGGTGCTTCAGATGGGATCTTCCGAGCAACGGTGCCCGTGTACATCAACACCACAAACGCCAACAAGTATAGCCCAGCATTCCAGCAGCACATTTATGAGGCAGAATTAGCAGAGAATGCCAAGGAAGGAACGAAGGTGATTGAGTTGCTAGCCATAGATAAAGATAGTGGTCCCTATGGCACTGTAGAGTATACTATCATTAATAAGCTGGCTGGTGAAAAGTTCTCCATAAATCCCAGTGGCCAGATCACCACACTGCAAAAGCTGGACCGGGAAAATTCAACAGAAAGAGTCATTGCTATTAAGGTCATGGCTCGGGATGGAGGAGGAAAAGTGGCCTTCTGCACTGTAAAGATCATCCTCACGGATGAAAATGATAATGCTCCACAGTTCAAAGCATCGAGGTACACTCTGTCCATCCCATCAAATGTCAGCAAAGACTTCCCGGTTATCCAGGTGCTGGCTTACGATGCAGACGAAGGTCAGAATGCAGATGTCACCTACTCAGTAGACCCGATGGAGGAGCTGGCTGATGAGCTCATTGATGTCAATGAGATCACTGGTGTGGTCAAGGTGAAAGAGAGCCTGGTAGGATTGGAAAACAAGACCCTTCGCTTCAAAGTCAAAGCCCAAGATGGCGGGCCTCCTCATTGGGATTCTCAGGTGCCAGTCCAGCTTCAGGTTGTCTCTAATGAAGTTTCCTTGCCCAAATTTTCTGAACCTCTGTATACATTCCCTGCATCTGAAGACCTTCCAGTGGGGTCTGAAATTGGGGTTGTAAAAGCAGCTGCAGCTCAAGATCCAGTCATCTACAGTCTTGTGCAGGGCACAACACCAGAGAGCAATAGGGACAGTGTCTTCTCCTTGGACCAAGACACAGGAGTCCTAAAAGTGAGGAAGGCTTTGGACCATGAGTCCACCAAATGGTACCAGATTGATCTGATGGCACACTGTCCCTATGAGGATACAGAGCTGGTGGCCTTGGTCTCTGTCCACATCCAAGTGAAAGATGTCAATGATAACAGGCCAATATTTGAGGCAGATCCCTATAAAGCTTTCCTCACTGAGAATATGCCAGGGGGGACTACAGTCATTCAAGTGACTGCCAATGATGAGGACACTGGGAATGATGGCCAAGTGAGCTATCGGCTGTCCATGGAGCAAGGTAGCAATGTTCATGAGCTCTTTGCCATTGACAGTGAAACTGGCTGGATCACCACTCTCAAGGAACTTGACTGTGAGACTTACCAAACCTATCGTTTTCATGTGGTGGCCTATGACCATGGGCAGACCATCCAGCTGGCCTCTCGGGCCCTGGTTGAGGTCTCCGTCATAGATGAAAACGACAATGCTCCTCAGTTCGTTTCTGAAGACTACACAGGATCTGTGGTGGAGAACAGTGAGCCCGGTGAGCTTGTGGCCACTCTGAAGATCCTGGATGCTGACATCTCTGAGCAGAACAGACAGGTCACCTGCTACATCACAGGTAGGGACACCTGTCTTGGATTGGTGGCACCAGGATGCACTGAAAAAGGCCCAACAAGGGGTGGGCTTAAGAGGTGGATCTAAGATGTGCACTTAAATCTTGGCTCTACCACTTTTTAACACTGTGATTTTTTGTGTGGTGGGGGACAAATTACTTAGGCCCTAGGACCTCCACCGCCCCATCTGTAGGGCAGCCTGTTGTCATTGACAGCCTGTTGTCCTTCTCCCAGGGATGCTGGTAAGATGTAACTGGAGGGTGCTCTGAGGGCCCCCTGTGAATCAGGAAGTACTTTGCAAAGAGGATCTCATCATTTCAGGTGAAGTAAGGGTCATGCTCTTTACTGTCCGCTATCTTCCAGGGGATGGAAAAGGCCCCAGCAGTTGTGTGATCCATGAAAATTCTGCCAGGTGACTGACTGTCTTTATAGAGAGTGACCTTCCCAGGGCCAGTTGAGGGATGATGGAAAATTACTTTTTGTCCCTCAGAGGACCAATGTATTGAAATGACAGCCTTCCTCAGGTATGGTTCTAGCACAGTCTCATTTCACAGATGGAAAACCCAAGGCCCAGATGAGGGGAGAAACTCAACCAAGGTCCTATTCTGAATTTGGGTCAGGGCTGGGATTAAAACTATACCCTACAAGCTGCTTTCCTCAGTGGATGCATATTGCAAAACTAAATGCCTGACTCGTTATATAAAGGGTAAGCCAGCGAAACAGTGGTTTCTTCCCCCACCCAGAGTGTCTTTTTTTTTTTTTGAGTCCGGGTCTCACTATGTAGTGCAGGTCAGCCTTGAACTGAATGCATACCCCAAGCTGGTTGTGAACTCACGGCAATTGTCCTGCCTCAGCCTCCCAAGTGCTAGGCTTACATGCATGCACCACCATGCCTGGCCAGAGTCTCTTCTCTTCCTATCTCTGGTGCCATCTCATCCAATTCCCATAAAAATGGTCCTTCTGCTACTACAAGTAGCTATGAGTCTAAAGTTCCAAAAAACCATGGACTCCTGCAGACAGGTCAGAGTTGCATGGAACACGGAGTCTTAGAAAAATAGAACCTTGTCACCTTATAATAATATCAGACACCTGAAAATCAGAAAGCCTTAAAATCTCAGAAAAAGATAATAAATGACAGTGTACAGTGAAGTTTTGGAATAGCTGAATCTCGCGACTCTGGAATCTTGAGTCTCAGGGTGCAAATCTCTCTTCCCACTCACTTGCCAGTGATAGGTGCTGAGGAAGGAAGACTTCCAAGTGAAGCTAGTGTTCCTCTTGCACTTCCACAGGGTCTGTCAATAGTTATAAAACCTCAGAGAGTTTAGTGTCACCGATCACTCCCTGCCCTTCCACACCGAATAGCTGCAAATATTAAACCTGTCTTGTATAGAACAGAAATTTGCTTACCTTTAACTTTCCCCAGGGCTGGAGATTTGGCTCAGTGGTTCTGCCGCCTGCCTCGCAAGTGTAAGGTCCCAAGTTTGATCTCCAGTACCAAAAAACAAACAAAACTCTCCCCAATGACTTCCAGTCCTCAAAATGTAAGAATCCTGTCCCTGTCCCTCACATATTTTGAAGTATTGCTTCCTGCAGTGATGGTTTCATTTAACAGATTTTTAAAAAGTCAGAAGAGTCTTCATAATTCCAAAAAATTGACTTAATACAGAATCATAGGTTCCTAGTTGAGAGAAGAATGTTTTTCATTTCTCAGCAATCCTAAAAGAAGCGTCAGGTGGGCAGCCACCTCTTACACAAAGTCTGGGTTGTTCTTTTGCTTGGCTTCTGAAAGCTATGCCCCATCTTTACAGAGGGAGACCCCCTGGGCCAGTTTGGCATCCACCAAGCTGGGGATGAATGGAGGATCTCCTCAAGAAAGACCTTGGACCGAGAGCACACCGCCAAGTACTTGCTCAGAATCACAGCATCCGATGGCAAATTCCAGACTTCAGTCCCTGTAGAGATCTCTGTCCTGGACGTCAATGATAACAGCCCTCAGTGCACACAGGTGAGAGCCTGAGGGAAGTAGGGCGGGAAGTGCAGGCGAGGAAAGCCGATGAGCAGCTGGGGAGAGAAGGAGGAACCAGAGCAGCTCCTGGGCTGGCTGTCACCCACCTCACCTGCCTTACCTCTCCCCTTGCTTCAGCCTAGCGCCCTGGGCCAGGGACTCAGGGCAATTCCTTGTCCCACCCCATGGTATACAGGAACCATGGCCTGCCTCTCTGTCCCCACACTGCATACAAAGGCCAGGCCTACTTCCCTGTACAGCTCCCACAGGACTAACACACCCCCTCCGCACTCAGTCCGCCCACTCACCGGGCAAACCCCTGCCGCTCATCAGTCAGCCTGGCTCACTGTTCCAGATCCATCCCGCGACATCCCTCCCTCCCTCCCTCCCAGGATGCTTGCATATGAGCGTGGCCACGTCAGCTCGTCAGCTCGGTCACACCTTCCTGCACGGGACCTCTTCTCCACGTTAGACACAGACGCCGACGTGCAGGCGGGATGGCTCCATTTGGTCAGAGATAACTTCTCTAAGGACTTTCCCGTGGAGAAAAATGTCGGTGGTGGGACTTGAGAGAGATTAGCAGGAGAAGAAGTGTGTTTTTAGAGGACGTAAACTAAGAGTCATCGTCACAGTTTGTTTTTAAATATGTTTACAAAACATAGTAATTTTTAACTTTGGAGGGATTTGTATCACCTCGAAGTTTTCAGGTAACGTTAAACCGTCAACATTGTTATTTTATGAAATACGTAATTCTACCATGTGGACTTGCATATCCAAATCAATTTGTATGCACACACGTGGACACATACTTTGCAACACACGTGAGTGCACGTGTCCTGTCACTTTTCCCTCTGCTCCTCTACACTCCGGTCACATAAGAGCGCCACAGCAAGAGATCGCCTGGTTCACAGCACACATGGAAAAAGTCCTCTCCGGATGGCAGGCGAGCGCATTTTGAGTGGGGAGAAAGGTGGCTGTCTTCTCCCTCGTTCCCCTCCAGCTATCCTGCAGCCTCCATCCTCCATGGTGGGCAAGGCAGGACCAGGCTCACCATGGCCTTCCCAGCGAGGCCCACAGCCTCCCAAGAGCCAAAGAGGGGCCTGGAAAACCACCTCCACACAGCCCACCAGGCCTGACGCTTCCACCTAGCATGAGCTCGGGGCCCGAGCTTGCTTAACCTGCTGTGGTGGAGACAGGATGCTTAGAAGTTTGGCCCCAGCCACCCAAGGAGGAGCATGAGTTCTCAGAGACCCCAGCCTGTCCCCTGCCACCCCCAGCAGGCCATGATGACACTGCAGCAGACGAGGCTAGAGCAAGCCACAGGGAACTGAGGTCCAGACTGGCTCAAAGGCCACAAGTCCACCCTGGGAACTCTGGCAGAGAGGTGACAGCTGGGCCTCACCCAGAGCAGGGAACGTGGTCCGGAGTGGCTTGATCTGAATTCTTGTGGGACACAGGTGTTGGGTCAGACCCCCGCCTTGTGCAGGGCTCCTGGGTGGTGGAATTCACCCTCATTTCCCTTCTTTTCTGACTTGTTCTCTTGCCATCCCTCTTAATCTCTGTTTTCCTTACACCTTTTTCTTCCCTCTGTTCCCCTCCCTCCCTCTCTCTGCTCCCCTGTCTCTGCCCATCTCTATTCTTTTAGTCTCTGTTGCTGCTCTCATCTCTGCCCCTCTTCCCCTCTCTGGATCTAAGCATAGCTCCCACAAACCCCCTCTTCTCTGTCTTTCCATCTCCAGCTTCTCTACATCAGCAGAGTGTGTGAAGATGTGTCCCCAGGAGCCTTCATTCTGAAAGTTTCCGCCACAGACTCGGACGCTGATACCAATGCCCAGATCATGTATTCCCTGCATGGCCCTGGGGCACATGAATTCAAGCTGGACCCTCACACAGGTGGGTTTCCCAAGCTCCAGGATCAAGCTAAGAGCTTTTTGCTGAATGCCAAGTGCCAGCGCCATGGGAGGGCTTTGGAGAAGGAGCAGGAATTCACCAACCTGTCTGTCCATCTACCAGCAAACATATGTCAAACAAACACATGCATTGGCACCGTGTGCCAAGCACTGCACTAGATGCTGGAGATACAGTCAGTAGACTGCTAAGACAAGACCCTGGTTTTTTGACCCTACTAGAAAGGCAGTCACTGAATCAGCGGTTTGGAATGTGACTTTGAGATATAAAATTAACTTAGGCTAGGGAGCAGAGGTAAGTAAAACTTCCCTGAAGAAATGGCATTGTGTGTGGAAATGACGGCACATAGGTGTGAACTGCGGTGAGGGAGCTGTCCCGGTGGGCATTCAAGGCCTAGAGAGAATTTTATTGAAGGACCTCAGTCTGGGGAAAGGTGAGACAGAGGGCCGGAAACTAGTGACAGAGGATGGGAGGAGAGGACATAGATGAGGTGCTCTGGGGAGGGAGCCAGATGCCACCTTCAGAGCCAGTAAGCTTCATGATCAAGGAGAGCATCTCACAACAGCAGTGCTGCAGAGCAGAGACCCAAATTCATGGGACTTCTGTGAGGCTCAGGAGCACAAAGCACAGGGAGCCGGAGCCCTGGCTGGTAGCTCAGCGGGTGTGGCTGCCATTGTCCTTACCACTAGCTAGGTGACAGCACACAGCGGGTGTGAACACCCTGGCAGGCAGGGCTGAGTCTGGTGGGGAGGTCAGGTGGGGTGTGCCTCCTTTAAAGAGCAGCCAGCCCCCAGGATGCGCTTTCCAGGGTGCAGCTGCTGAGGGGCAGCAGGGGATGGGCAGGAGGAAGGCCGGGTCACAGGGGCCGGCTGCTGGCACTTGGTTGAATCCAGTAGCTCAAAAGATGACTCAAATTCCAGAGCAGGGAGGTGGCCCGGGAGAGGGGTGTCCTGGGACAGATGGGGCCATGCTGTGTTCCTGACCCCCGGCACGGGTACGCTGAGTGGCTCCAAAGGTTACCTAATCTCCCTCTGTTCGGTATTTGCTCAGCTGCAGGATGATCAGTGAGGACTTGAAAGAAAAATAAACAGGGCAGTGTTTGAAAATATGCAAATAATACATGCTCCGTGTACTGGATTCAAACAGTGTAGGTGTGTGTTACGCAGAAACTGCACAGTAAGCCCGTCCGCCCAGATGTTTATTCTATCAGAATGCTTTTTCCAAGCATCTCTAAACTCTCATTGTTTCATGAAAACAGAGTACTACCTTGGAACTTGCTTTTATTCACATATAAGTGTGTTGCAGATATTACCAAGGCCCAAATAAAGCTCCGTCATAATTCATTTCTATTTGCATAGTACTTTGCCTTGTGGCTAAGTCACAACACACTTCATTAGTCCCTATTTGAAAGACATATAGGAAGACTTCAGTACACTGCTATTACAAACACTGCTGCGGAGAATATCCTAATACATGTATTTTAATCCTTGGGTTAATTCTGTAGGAATGAAGTTACTGGCCAAAGGATAAACATATTTTATATATTATAAATTGCCTCATTGGCCTTTTAAAGTACCTGTTTGTTTCTTGCTGATGATGATCTCAAATTGGTGCTGATGGTGGTTGTGTTTGGAAGGAGGACAAAGCAGGTGGGTGCTGGGACACTAGCAGAATGGCTTTCCTGACTGCTTGTTCCCTTCACATGGCCGGGACTCTCCTCTGCCGCTCTCTAGAGGCCACGTGCTGGGGTGAATTCTCACAGAGAAAGCTGAGCTTCTATCATTTCTCTGGCCAGGGGAGCTGACCACACTCACAGCCCTAGACCGCGAAAGGAAGGACATGTACAGCTTTGTTGCTAAGGCGACAGATGGAGGTGGCCGATCCTGCCAGGCGGATGTGACCGTCCACGTGGAAGATGTGAATGACAACGCGCCAAGGTTCTTCCCGAGCCACTGCACCGTGGCTGTCTTCGACAACACCACAGTGAAGACCCCTGTGGCTGTGGTGTTTGCCAGGGACCCTGACCAAGGTGAGTGTAAGGACAAGATGTCACTTCGGCTCTTCTGCCTCTAGCTCACTCTCGGTGAGGATTCAGCTCTCCTGTCTCTTTGGCACCAGTCAGGACTGTCCCTCCATACTGAGTGTGTGCATGCTTCAAAGTGGGAAACATCTGTCCACAGCAGATACCTAAGTGCAACGTGATGAATGATTTTAGCAACGTTTTGAGCCAGATACAAGGCATTTCCTCCTCATTGTTTCTCCCCTGCCACTTAGACCTGGAGAACTTCCAATACTGTCACTGAACTTCTGGGGCATTTTTTCCTCAAGGCCATTTTCAAGATATAAATTTAATCAGAAATATATTGATGAGGGGCCAGGGATTTAGCTCAGTGGTGCCGCTGCCTGCCTTGCAAGCCCAAGGTCCCGAGTTCAATCCCCGGTACCAAAAAAAAAAGACATTGATGAGAATTATTCAGCTTTAATTAATGTGGCCCCCCAAGAGAAAATTTTGACACTAATTTCATTCAGCCTATTAAATTCTTTTATTAATTCCTGTATGGTGAAGTTGAACCATTTTCAATGTTTTATGTTTTCATTTTAATAACATTATTTCCATCGGGGTTAATTCTCTCCCTTTTAAAACTTAGAAGGTATCTTAGCTTGTTTTCTGCTGCTATGATTGAATACCACAGGCTAGATAACTGATAAACAGTAGAAGTTTATTAGGCACATGGCTTTGGAGGCTGGAAAGTCAAAAGCATGGTGCCGACATCTGTTCAGCATCTGGTGAGGACCTTCTGGCTGCATCATAACACGGCAGACGCCATCACATGGAGAGGCAGAGCAAGTGTGCTACCTCGGGCCTCTCTTCCCCTTTTTATAAAGCCACTAGGGACCTCGTTACCTCATCTAATCCCAGTTATCTACCAGAGGCCCCGGTTCCAAATGGCATTAACGTATGAATGGGCAGATTAAGTTTCTAATACATGAACTTGGGGGGAGCATCTTTAAACCATACCATAAAGCAAATTTGAATCATCAAAGGGTATTTGTTCCAAAGTCTACCAATTATACCATCGGCCATTATGAACGATTCCATTGTGGTCCCATTTTCCTGAATCAAATTTTATAATTCAAGTAGACTCACAGAAGACTAAAAAATGCCCTTGGGGTCAAAGTAACCAGATTAACATAGGTGATGATGATGATGATGATGATGATGATGATGATGATGATGATGATGATGATGCTGATGCTGCTGCTGAAGATGAAGAAGAATGATAAAAGCAGGGTCAAAATATTCTGCCTTTTTTTAAAACACAAATTTAAGACTTTTAGAGGAAATGAGCTTTAGCTTGGTATTGAAGAAAGGGAGAGATTTTGGAGGAATGCAGGGTCCTAGGAAGGGCAAAGGCAAGAGGTAGCTAGGCCTGAGAAACCTGAGAGGGGGGAGGAACAGGTGCAAGTCGACTTGTTTAAGATGCAGACTGGGTCTGAGAAGACAGGACCAAAATACAACAGAGCTGGAGTGACCCGTTAGCCACTTCATCTACTCTTTCATCTAATGGCTGCAAGGTCCTATAAATGCTCCATTGGGTCACACATCCAGGGACAGAAAGCTCCCAATTTGGAAGGAAGCGGCCCCTTCCTTCCAAGGTCCCTCAGACAATTATCAAGTGCCAGTTTTTTCTGTGCTGATACCTGCTAGTCCTGGCCTCAGTCCTCTGCAGTCCTGTAGCTCTTCTAAACCCCTAACCTACAGTGGTCCTTCTGATGCTGCAGATGGTGACTACTTGCTCCAGCCTCAGCCGCCCTTTCTGGGTGAGAGAGCCTTCGTTTCTTCAGCCACAGGATTTCAGATCCTATCCACCTTGTACGACCCATTCTCTGGCCTCACACCAGCTTACCATTAACCCTTGGTTATTCTAACACAAATATCCTACCCGAGTACTCCAAGTGTGGTCGGTGGAGCCTATGTCTCCCTTTCTCTTGAAAAATCATGGTTGCTCCATAAAAATGCATAAACACGGTAGCTGCGTGGCATATGCATTTAATGGGTATAAATTCACACTTCTTTGACATAATTATAGACTCATAGGAAATTGCAAAAACAGTATTGAGAGAGCACTTGTCACCCAGCATATTCCACAGCTGTGGTAGGTATGCCGAAACCAGGGAGTTGACCGTGGACAGTACTGCTCCCTGCCCTGGGCCTCATTCTCATCTCCCCGCGTTTTATAGGCACTCATTTGTGTCTGTATTGTCTTCGTACAGCACGGGTTTATATCGTGTGCGCGCAGTGTGTGTATGTGCACGGCTCTGTGTAATATCATCGTGTGCACAGACTTGTATAACCAACACCATCACCAAGACACAGCTGTTCTCCCGCAAGCAAGGAGCTCACTACAGGTGGCTTTGCCTTGCTCACTTGTCACATATAAACTGAGATTGGATCCTAATCCTCACTAACATTTTCAGGTGGTTTGGTAGGTTTGTAGACTGCAGCTCCATCTCCCAACATAAACCTTCCTTCTGGGGCCGCTCTTGGCCTTTCTGGGAGCCCTCGCCGCCTTCCCGTGCGGTGCGGCTGCAGCAGCGCCTGGGATCAAGCCCTTGTCCTCCCGCAGGTGCCAACGCTCAGGTGGCTTACTCTCTGGCCGATTCCGCCGGAGGCCAGTTTTCCATCGACCCCGCCACCGGCGTGATCCGGCTGGAGAAGCCCCTGCAGGCGAGGCCTGGGGCGGTGCTGGAGCTCACGGTGCGCGCCTCGGACCTGGGCGCCCCGATGCCGCTGTCCACGCTGGGCACCGTCGCGGTCTCCGTGGTGGGCCTGGAAGACTACCTGCCGGTGTTCCTCGCCGCAGAGCACGGCCTGCAGGTGCGCGAGGACGCCCCGCCCGGCGCCCAGGTGTTGTCGCTGGCCGCCCTCGCCCGCCCCGGGGCCCAGAAGACGGGCTACCGCATCGTGGGCGGGAACGAGCAGGGCCGCTTCCGCCTGGACGCCCGCACAGGTGAGCGAGGCCGGTGGGACCGGGACCCCTGCGGGGCGGGCCAGGCGCCCGGCTTCCTCCCGCTCAGCGTCTCCCCAGCCCCTCTCGCCCCTCTCGCCCCGGGAGTGTCTGTGGAGCCCTCCCCCGCCAGTCGGTGGCTTCCTGGCCTCAGCCCAGGGCAGCCTGGACAGAAATTCACCCAAGGCCGTCAGCTGCCTCCCCTACTCCCAGCTCGGCCACCCTCCCCAACCGGGGATCGAACTCAGGACCTTATGCCTGGAGGCGGGCGCGTTGCCTCTGAGCTACATCCCTGGCCCCTATTATGGAGATTTTACAGAACAGAAGTATAATGCTTCCTCAGGTTCGATCACTATGAACGTAAGTCTGGTTTGACCTTTCTTCTTCAGTCTCACACCCATCCACTGCCAACCTAAATCTCTTAAACTCTAACCTTCTCCCTCTATTCCTTCCTACCAATTATTTAATGAAATATTTTGTCAGGTATTTGGTTGAATTTTTCAGTTTGGATTGCCTGACTGCATATTTATAATATCATAAAGCACATGCCTCTAGCCTCTGTATTCCCTGAGAATAATATCTGGATCAAAAGCTATGATCAGGTTAAGTCAACAATCTTAGATCAACAGTGTTTCGTGAGTGACATTGTATGAACTGCATCATAGACAGTAACAGCTGACTGGTTTGTCTGTTTTTCAGTGCTCAGATTGACAGTGAATTCAGGCGTTGTCATCCTGATCCCTCCAGTACAGATTTTAAGGAGATAAATTTAGCATCACAGGTTCAGAGATGTTACAGAAATAAATGAGGGAAACACAGCTTTTAGGAATTAGAGTAAGAAAAATGAGAGGAGACAAAAGGGGAGGGAAAAAAGGAAGGGACATCCAAGAGGGAGACACTGGAGGAAATCCTCTCTCCTAGCCCCCTGAGCTGCCTCTCCCAGGGCTGGGCTCAGGACCCCTCTCTGCTCTTATTTCCTTCAGGGATCCTGTATGTCAACAGGAGCCTGGACTTTGAGACAAGTCCCAAGTACTTCCTGTCCATCGAGTGCAGCCGGAAGGCCTCTTCCTCCCTCAGTGACGTGACCACAGTTGTGGTCAACATCACTGATGTCAACGAGCACCGCCCCCAGTTCCCCAAGGACCTGTACAGCACGAGGGTCCTAGAGAATGCCATCGTGGGTGATGTCATCCTCACAGTAAGGATGTGCAGCTTTGCTCTTTGTGGGGCGGACTCAGTGGGTTCTTATCTCCCCCCGTTCTCAGTCATCTGTAAGCGTGGATTAATCTATCAAGTCCATCCGCTGTAGATTTGGGTCTGATTGGTAACTACTCAGCCAAAGCATCTCTTGTGACAGGATGTACCAGAGCCATTTGATAAATTTGGGTTCTGATAGACTGGCATGGGACTGGCAAGCTTTGGTAGGAGGGCAAAGAGAAAAGAGGGACTGGACTCCAGAGGTCTGCCAGAGGCTCCAAAGCCTGGGAAGAGTCCGGTCACAGTGAGACACAGAATGCCATATGTAGAGGACGCGGTGGGAGACGTCAAATAGTGCCTCTTTGCATTTGAGTATGCAGTTGCTCCCTCCTTCTTTGAAGTGAAACCAAACTCTGCATGCCATATTCACAGTTCCTGGGCCCCTCCATTCCACCTCCTGCCCTTCCCTCCGCCTACTTCCCCATGCACCCGGAACTCCAGCTGCACCTGAAGGTGCACCAATCTGCAGTGTCACTCCTCTGGGCACACACAGGAGCTCTCCTCGTCCTTCAGGGCTTCCTGAATCCAGCGCTGATTTCCCCGGGGTGGAATGGGTCAGTGTGTTCCGTGCCCTCATGAGCCTGATCAGACTTTGCCCCAAGTTAGAATCAAGCATGAGAGCCGGGGATTTAGCTCAGTGGTTTCACTGCCTGCTTCGCAAGCGCAAGGACCCGAGTTCGATCCCTGGTACCAAAAAAAAAAGAATCAAGCATGAAATCAGACATTAAGTTTCCCATAGGCATATTCGTTCTGGCCCATCCCTTTCCTCCTAGCCTCCCAGGACAGACCCTAGCACCCTGTCACTGTGAGTGAATGCACAGCATGCTGAAATCCGAGAGCCATTTCCTTGGCAAAGATGACCGCCAATGGCAGGCACTGAGGCAGGGATGTAATCTGTCCCTCCGCACTCCTGGGGCCAAGGCTGCTTTCTGGCCCCTCCTGTGCCTCCATTCACAATCAGCGTCCCCCACCACAGGTGACAGCGACTGACGAGGATGGACCCCTAAACAGCGCCATCACCTATAGCCTCGTAGGAGGGAATCAGCTTGGGCACTTCGCCGTCCACCCCGAGAAGGGGGCGCTGCAGGTGGCCAAGGCTCTGGACTGGGAACAGGTGAGTAGATGGGATCCGCACTGAGCTCCTCGGAGCAGAGATGTGGCCCTGCTGCAGGTTCTCGGATGCACTGTGGCCAGCACCCACCCCGCATGCCCAGAGCATCCCCTTTGCTCTGTGAGGCCACCTGCACTGTGAGGCCAGGGGCAGGAGAGGGACTGGCGGACTCTTACCCTTCATGGTGAGCTCAGTTCTTCCTCGCAGTTCATTCCCGAATAGCCACCCCTCACTGACCTCCCTGTGTGCTTCACGTTTTGCTAACTGCTTACCATGCATTGCATCGTCCGATCCTCCTCATGATCACAGGAAGCTGGCTCTGCCCTTACCGCACACAAGGGAAGGCCCCTAACCGACTTGGAAGTCACACCCACTGCTTTCTGACTCCAGAACCTGAGCTGTTCAGTGCCATGGGCGGGCAGTGAGAGGGCCCAGGCCGGCATCTCCACCTTTTCTTCCCGAAAACATTAGCCGTGAGTCAGGGCCAGATGCGAGGGGCCCTGTTGCTAACCTTCCTTGGGGCCTCTCGTGACAGACACCCAGCTATTCCCTGAAGCTGCGGGCCACTGACAGTGGGCAGCCCCCGCTGCATGCAGACGCAGACGTCGATGTCCAGGTGCTCGACATCAACGACAACCCACCACGGTTCTTCCAGCTCAACTACAGCACTGCCGTCCAGGTCAGTCCGAGCCTCCAAGGGCTCCTGGAGCCTGCCCGCACGCTGTTCCCTATAGTGGGAGGTGCTCCCCAGCGGTACCAGTCTCTCCAAGCAGCTGTGACTCTGCCACTGCTAACCCTGACGGCGACGCAGACAGCTGAAGGGGGCTATGGATTATGGAATTAAAACGTGAGGGTTTGTGCTGAGCACTTCCCTGGACTCTACCCATAATAATAGCTATTCCACAGGTTTAAAGAACACAGATGCGGAAATGTGCTATAGCTGGCCTATGTCATGCTTAGGACTTAAACTCAGGTGACTTTCTAGATCTTAAGTCATCTTCGTCATAGCAATGGTTTGCAAACAGGATTGGAAGAGGGCCTTGTGCTTTTATGGGGGAATTGTCAAGGCCTTAAGTGGTTAGGGAGGCAAAGAAGTGGCTAAGAGCGAATTCTGGGTCCTAGGCGTCACCTGAGGTGTTCCACTGTCACCTGCTGTATATAGAATGAGTATGAGTTAGGATGCTTTAGATACAAATAGCAGATATCTAACTAGAAGTTTGTCAGGTAACAAGGATTTATTAAGATGGTGGAAAATTCCATCCAGAATTGGATATTTCGGTAGGAAAGCAACATGGAATTCCTTCACCTTCTCCCTCATTGCAGAATGGCTGCTGTGGGTCTCGAATCAAAAGCTTGCATAATCATCTTCAAAGGCACACAGAGGGACTTCTTTTGAAGGATCTGTTTTTTGTCAAAGAAGTCTTTCCAGAACTATCACTTGATGCTCACTCTTTCAACACCAAAACCTGGCACAAGGAATCAGATTACGTTAACTGACTTGGATTAATCACCATGCACGTCCTCATGAGAGGGGCACATCTTGCCTGAGGACATTGCCTGTATATGCCTAAACAAAAGCAGGGTTTTATAAGAATGAGGGAAATGATGCCTATCGGACACAGAGCCATCAGCTTCTGTCTTAGATTCTGTTTAAAGATAAGATTGTGAAACTTAAAAAACAGCCAGCCATTGCAGTACGATAGCACACTGAATGACTGAATTGCCACGTTACAGAACAAAGGCTGAAATGATACTTAGGCAATCATATTTTCTTGGTTAAACTCCTGTTCATTTTAAAATTTGCTCAACAATGTAGCACATCGATCTTCTAAAGAAGAGACCTCTTGTAAGTGCCTGGTTGATGTTGCAAATTACAAAATTCCCACATGTACTCCAGCTACTACTTTATAGCTATGACTCATCAGCTGTGTGACCTCGGGTGAGTCACCTCCCTGTAGAACAAAGGGTTCCCCCTTGGTCTCTAAGAACCTCCCAGTCCCAGTAAACTTTGTTTCTAAGACCCAGCACTGCCCTTGGGAGTGCCTGGTCTGGACTGAGAGGCAGCAGCTGGAAGGCAGCAGGACAGAATGAATGAATGGCACACAAGGCTGCAGTCAGAGTTAGGGGACTCATCCCAGATGAGGGGTCCAGAAAGATGCATGGAGGCGGCCTGGGGAGACTCATTTTGCTTGTCTTCCTGTTACTCTCGGTCTCAGGAGAACTCCGCCATCGGCAGTAAGGTCCTGCAGCTGATCCTGAGCGACCCCGACTCCCCGGAGAATGGCCCCCCCTACTCATTCAGAATCACTAAGGGCAACGATGGCTCCACCTTCCGAGTGACTCCAGAAGGGTGCCTGGTGACGGCCGCGGGCCTGAGAAGGAGGGCTCAGGAGGAGTACCAGCTGCAGATCGAGGTGAGAGCCGTGCCAAGCCCTGGTTTGTGGTGATGGCAGTGGGGAGGACAGACGCACTGGCCAAAGCATGTCCAGTGATTCTGTCATTAGGAAAAAGTGTGCAGAGCACTGGAGTATCGGGCTGGGCAGTGCTTCACATGCACCCTGCGTTAAATCCTCCTCATACTCCTTAAGGCGGGTACACTTGCTGCTGCACTGGACAGATGAGGAAACGGAGGCACGCAGGGGTCAAGTGACTGACTTAAAGTACTCTTAAGTGGCAGAGGTAGGTTGCTCCAAACCCAAACACTCTGACTGCAGAGCCCAAACCGAATCTTGCCCTGTGCTCTGCAGAACACCCACTCTCTGGCTCCAGCTCCTTGATGTGTCCAGAATCTCTCTCTGAGCCAAGAGTGCTAGAAGCTCTACGCCCTGGGTCTGGGTGGGCCAAGTGGCTGTGTGCCCACATGCAGGAGGCTGTGGGGTGCTGCCATGGGTTATATGGGAATTGGCCAAGAATAGTGGCCAACATGGTGCTCAAGCATTTCTCTCGGGGGGAATTCATTCCTCCAAATTTCTTTCCCAAATCTCTAGTCCAGCGGATCCTCATATTGTGTGGATTTCTGGGCTGGAATGATGTATTCATTCATTCATCCATTCAGTTGTTCAGCCTCTCGACAAGTATTTATTGAGCATCTGCCATGTGCCGGGCCCCACGCCAGCTGCTAGAAGCAGAGCCAGGGAAAAGAAGGGAGTTGCTCTCCCCATGGGCTTTAGATTCTAATTATGGACATAAACAATAAACAGGCAGCTGGTGTGATGGCACACACCTGTGATCCCAGCACTCAGGCGGCTGAGGCAGGAGAATCACCATCAAGCCCAGCCTGGAACTACATTGCAAGACCCTGTCTCAAAAAATAATAACAAATAACAAGAAACAGTTAACATCCTTAGAAATGAGGGTGCAGAAATGAAGTGATGAGAGACTCAAGGCAGGGGACACGAACACTTTCACACAGGACGTTTGAGTGGAGACCGGGAGCCAGCTATGTGAAGGGTGGGCAGCCGGGTTCCAGGCAGAGAGAAGAGCAGCAGGGGAGAGTTGGAAGGTATCGGTGCTGTGGCCGAGAAGGTCAGAAAGTAGGAAGCAACGGTGGGAATGAGGCTGGGGAGCATTCTGGGGACGTGAAGTCTCAGGCGTGGGCAACGGGACTCTGACTCTGAGAGTTGAGGGGCATTGCCTTAGTCCATCTGGGCTGCCACAGGAAGATTCCACAGACTGGGTGGGTCAGAGAGCAGACATCTATTTCTCAGAGTTCAGGAAATCTGAGGCTAAAGTGCAACTATGGTCAGGTTCTCCAGGGGGTCCTCTTACAAGCTGTGCAAGGCAGAAAGACAGCAACTGGCTCCATCCTACCTCCAAATACCATTACACTCGGAATTAGATGTCAGGAAATGAGTTTGGAAGGACACAAACATTCAGGCCATAATAGGCACTACAAATAATTGATTGATAATTGATCACAACCGGTAGAAGCCAAGAATAAGCCAGGAGGTACAGCCCTCTCGTTATAAGCCTTGGTAACACTTCCGGATTTTAATCTAAGTGCAGTGAGAAGTAGCTGAAGGGCTTCCAACAGGGAAGGGACCTCCCTGCATCTCAGGGGGCTCATTCTGGAGCTCTGCGGAGACTCGCTGACGCTGTCCCAGCAGTGCGGAGACTCTCAGGGATGGTGAAGATGGAAGAAGTGGGCTGATCTGGGACAGGTCATGTGTGTAAATAGGGAGGAGTTAATGATGGCTTGGATGTGGGACATAAAGACAGAAGAAGAATCAAGGTGACTCTCAAATTGCTGGCACCAGTAAGGAGTAGGTGGTAGTGCCCAATAGAGCCCTAGGAGGGTGTGAGGGAAGACGGGCTTATGGAGTAAATTGAGGCTCTGCTGTGCACGTCCGTGTGCACAGGGGATAATGGACTCGCAACCGGTAGAAGCGCAGGTGTCCAGTGAGTGGTGGGAATGGTAGCCGGCAGAGCAGAGGGGAAGTGTGGGCCAATGTCAACGGTCCCCAAAGCCAAAAGCACGGATGTGCCTGCCCGGGGCAAAAGAGAGAGGACAGCTTCTGACCCCTGTACTGTCAAGCCCAGGCAGAGTGCTGGGCCCCAGCAGATGCCCAGTGACTGTGACCTCAGCACTCTCTCTCAGGTTGGTCCCGTATTTCCACTCCATTCCCTGAAGAGCAGCATAGACAGGCTAGCAGGCAAAAACAGACTGAGGACATGGGCGTCCAGATTCTGCTCGGGCCTTCTCTGCTTGACCTTGCTATGACCTTGGCCAAGTTACTTGACCTCTGTGAGCCTCTGTATACATTCTGTAAAATGGGAGACTTAATGGTCCCCATCTCCTAAGAAAGACAAACTATGATAACACATTCAAAGCATTTAAGTTCCCCGCACGTGCTCTGTGCTTGGCTGCTGCCAGCTGTGTGTGAGAACGAGGAATAAAGACGTCTTCCTGAACCCTTCCAGAGCTTCCTGTCACCAACACAGACCCCACCCTGTGCCTGTCCGGGAGGCTGCCCTCCCTCCGCAGCGCGGCGGCCTCACCGCTGGCCCTGTGCCCTGTGCTCTAGCACCGGTACCCTTTCAGCTTCCTTGCATCCGCCCCCTCCTTCCGCACTCCGGGGTCTCACACGTGCCTCCCCTTGCCTGTCACTTCTCATCTCTTCAGACTGGGCCTAAATGAGCTTCCTCAGCGACCCCTTCCACCTGATCTAAGTCACATCCCTCACTTTTCTCTTCTCTGTCACAGTGCGCTGTTTATTTCCTTCCCAGCAGTTATCCACGTCTGAAACTCTCATGCTCGTTTGGTCGCTCATTTATTCTCCTTTTTTTCCCTACTCACAGCAGAGGGCCTGGCCCGTAGGAGCTACCTGAGAAATATTTGTTGACTGACTTGCAGAATAAACCCCCCACTCCTACTCTAGTCATATAATAAAGGAAGATGGAAAAAGAATCTCCTTGGGCTGGGTGGGGTGCAGTGAAAAATGTGCACTGGATTTGCTAAGAGACCTGGATGACCTTGAGGGAAGAGACAGACAAGGAAGCTAGGGGCCGATTGTGTGCGTGACCGTGGTGAGGCGAGGCAACTCCCTACACACCTTCAGAAAACCTCTAGTCCATACCCATGCCTTTGTAGTTAAATTTCTCTTTCTCGAAAGCGACAACAAAGCGAGCCTGCCCTCAGGCAGGAGGGACAGGGAAGTGTGTTGCCTCAGAGAAGCCGGCCTCAGGTGGGCCCAGAGGACCAGAGTCTGGTCCCCTCCATTGGGTAATGGCAGTGTTTGTTCTGCCCACAGGTGTCAGACAGCGGCATCCCTCCCCTCTCGTCCTCCACATGGATCAGCGTCCACGTCCTGGAGCAGAGCCACTACCCACCTTCCGCTCTCCCTCTGGAGATCTTTATCACCGTCGGGGAGGAAGAGTTCCAGGGTGGCATGGTGGGTAAAATCCATGCCACGGACAGAGACCCCCAGGACACCCTGACCTACAGCCTGGCAGGAGAGGCCTCCCTGGGCAGGAGCTTCTCAGTAGGTGCAGCCGATGGCAAGATTATCGCCACCCCGGGGCTGCCCCGTGGCCGCTATCTGTTCAATGTCACTGTCAGTGATGGGACCTTCTCGACCACCGCGGGCGTCCACGTGCATGTGTGGCATGTGGGGCAGGAGGCCCTGCAGCAGGCCCTGTGGATGGGCTTCTACCAGCTCACGCCAGAGGAGCTGGTGAGCGACCACTGGCGGAACCTGCAGCGGTTCCTTAGCAACAAGCTGAATGTCAGGCGGGCCAACATCCACCTGGCCAGCCTTCAGCCCTCGGAGGCCGTGGCTGGGGTGGACGTGCTCTTCGTCTTTGAGGGGCATTCCGGAACCTTCTATAACCTCCAGGAGCTGGCATCCGTCCTCACTCACTCAGCCAAGGAGATAGAACACTCGGTGGGAATTCAGATGAGATCAGCCGTGCCTGTGGTGCCCTGCCAGGGACCAAGCTGCCAGGCTCAGCCCTGCCAAGAGACAGTGCACCTGGACCCCAAGGTTGGGCCCACGTACAGCACAGCTAGGCTCAGCATCCTCACGCCGAGGCACCGCCTGGAGAGGAACTGCGTCTGCAATGGTGAGGAACGGGCCTCCCTGCCAGGCTCCTCTGCCTCACCCAGAAAGCCCTCCGAGGCTTGGCGGGGGGGGGGGGGTCCGTGGGAAGTTTTAATAAGGCCGAAAGCCACAGACCGCCATGGCCTCACAAAATCTAGTCATAAATGATAAGCCAGTTTCTGCCACTTTGCTAAAGTCTGAAAATAACAGTAAGAATACAATGGGCACTTTAACATTACAGCAGAGAGCATAGACAGGTGTCAAACTGCCTAGGTTCGAATCTCAGCTCTACCACCTACAGGCTGGGTGATTTAGGAGGGTTACTTCACCTTTCTGTGTCTTTGGGCTGGCTGCTGTAGGGATTAAATAGTATGAAATACAGGGTGCTTGCTGGTAAGAGTCCCTGACATGTAAGAACGTGCTCCATAAACACAAGTACCTAATACTACTACTGTTATTACCATAGCCTGCTAGGTGTCAGCTCAAAATGTAGACTCAGTGTAGGTTCCAACCCTAGCTTCTGTCATTTATTAGATTGGGTGGGTTAGCAAAATCCTCCTTGCTCCAGTTTCTAACCTATGAAGCAGAGAAAATAACACCACCTGCCTCCTGGAGTGGGCTTGGGGAGCTGGCCCAGCAGGGCCAGGACGGATGGTGGCCAGGATAGATGGTGGCCAGGATAGATGGTGGCTACCACTCAAAGGAAAGCAGTGGATGCTGCCTGTGCCAGGCTCTGTGTAGAAGCCACCTACCCCAAGCCAGGTCCTCACTCCATCTGCAGTTGAAAGTGAAATTTGGGAGCTTTTTACTTGGCCTGGCACTGTACAGCCTTTAATGAGGCCAGGTTATTTGAGTGCTTGTTATGTTCTCTTCTAAGCTGAAGCTCTTCACTGAGCTCTTTAAGAACTTGGTTTTCTGACTGACACTCACCCACCACCCTTGGTATTAAGATGAATGCTCTAGAGCAGCTGTCACTCGCAAAAGCAGTGACATCGATCTCAGCTCACCATCGCCCTCTACTGGCCCAGCCTATCCTTTACCGATCCACCCTCTTTGCATCCTGGAAATCCTTTCCCAGATTTTCGGCCATTCTCCAAGGGCCATTGGCCTTAGGCTGGGAGGGCTAAATTGCAGCAACAAAGAGATCTCTTCTGTATCTCTGGCCCTGTGGCCTGCTTCAGGGAAAAGCTCAAGGTCTCTCTCGACCACGTGCAGCAGACAGCAGAGATTCTAGAGTTCCACACTGCAAATCCACCTGGTTTTTAAAGATGCCTGCTCAAGGCTACAGCCTCCACATTCTTTTTTCTTTTTTTTTTTTAAGATCTTGGGTGAGTCCTGCAACTGGTGTTTAATTTTAAGCATGTGATCCAAGGGCAGCACCTTGATAATTCCTAGACAGGCTCACTGACCAGCAGAATCATTTGGGGAGAGGGTTAACATATTTTTTAATGAAATGAAATGTGACACTCAAAAAACTCAAGCCATGTGTCATAAGTGTAAACCTCAGTCGTTTTCATAAACAGGATAGACCTGTGTAACCAGCACCCAGATCTGAATCAGTATGACCCACATCTCCAAAGCCTCCCTTGGGCTCCCTTCCAGGCACACACATGATAGGGTGATTTTTAACACCCAGATTTCTAGGCACCGCCCGGAACCACTGCATCAGAGCCTGTCCAGGCAGAGCCCAGGCTTCTGTATTATAAACAGCTCCCTAGATGTCCTGCTCATCTTCAGCATCCCACGCAGTGAAGCCTTATTGGGCTGGAATGGCCAATGTCAGAGGTTTAGGCTTCCGGTGTGGTAGAACCTTTGGATGTTGGACCCCTGCAGCCTCAGGCTGTTCTTCCTTCTCTTCTTTTTGGCCTTCATTCCCTCTCTCCAACAGTTCCTCTTCCCCAGATATCTGGAGCCTGTGCCATTCATCCTTTCCCCCCGGCAAAAGGCAGGCTCATTTATACCGGGTTTTTAGGGATTTAATGGCTGAACTCACTTCCAGAGGGCAGCGTTTAAGCTAAGACAGTATTTTTCAAAGGGAGTTCTTCAGAATGCTCTTCCTCAGGGTATCTGCATGAGACTGTCCCAGGGTCAAATACACTTGAAAAACTCCAGGGGAGGTGAATGCTTAGACCCTTTGCAATGCAACTGTGTTTTAGTAGTTGCTCCAAGGGGGTGGAGGACGCAGTACTTTACAGAAGGCAGGGGCCACAGTCTGTCACTAGCCCCCTTGTTGGTCATGGAGTATCCCGGAACTCGGGGTGGCATTTCATTTGGGAAGGGCTTACCAAATGATTAGAGTCCTACTGATACAAGCACAAGGCAAAAACCCGGTGCTCTGGAAATCACGCGCATGTGCAGAATCCTCTGCAGTTCTGTCTCCTCCAAGGAACGTCAGAAATACTGTAACGTGGAGACTGTGTGCTAAAAATTTTGATATCCGCACATGCAGTTGGTTCTGTTTGTGGCTTGACTCTTGCTTTCTTCTGATTTGGGCTCAGGAGTCCTGACGCTTAAACTAGGCCCGAAGGCAGTGGTCCCTGGGGCTAAGGAAGGCGTGAGAGGGATGGATGGCCCTGTTTAGCTGTCCAGCCCTGGACAAGACTCTCCTTTCTGTGTAAAATGCGAACCAGCCAAGGCTGAATGAGGCAACGTCAGGCCACAGGCTCTGTGGGACCACCGCACACAGTGCTGACACCTCTGGTGGCTTTTGCAGATACTGCCACAAGGTTCTCGGGTCAGAGCTACGTGCAGTACAGACCCATAGCGGGGCAGCACTGGCACATCCATTTCTACCTGAAAACTCTCCAGCCGCACGCCGTGCTCCTGTTCACCAACGAGATTTCCCTGAAGGTAAGGCGCTCCAGCCTGGGAGATGGCACGGGGGCACCCCAGCCTGGGGACATGAGGATGGCATGATGATGTCCAAGAAGCCAATTCCTGGCAAAGAAATCCCTGCATCATTGTCAGGGGTGGCAGGGCTGCTACGAGGCCCAGACACGGGGCCGTCCGGTCCAGGAGTACCACAGTCCACTTACAACCCAGGGTGAGGCTGTGGCTCTGTGGGGTAAGAGCTCCAGAACATAGAAAGAGATGGGCAGGTCCACACAGCCTTGGTGCTATGCCTGCCTTTGTTGAGTAGTAGGCATTGGCCAGCGTTCTCCAAGGGCCGGGGGGCTGGTGCTGCTAGGAATGCTCAAGGTGACCAAACCAATATAAAGTCACAGGGAGGAAAAGTTTATTTCCTTTCCATAGTCTTTCAGTGCTGTGATTACATCCCATGGGAAGTCTCAGCTTGCCTGCCTGATTTTAATACTTCTGTCCCATGTGCCAGTCTCCCATTTTAACAGAGAAAGCTGACTGGCAGGTGGTGAGATGTTAATCCACTCAACACATTTACTGGGCATCTATACTGCGTGACAGGCGCTGTTCTAGGTGCTCGAGTCTCATCTGTCTGTGATAGAGCTTTCATTCTATGGGAGGAAGACTGACAATGAACGTAACCATAATAAATGAAGAAATTTTAGAATAGTTTGTGCTAAATCCTACAGGCAAAGGAGGGGGAGAAAAGGGTAAGAGGGGTCGGGGTGAGGGGCGCTGCAACTTTGGTGGTAGTGTGAAGAGAGTGAAGGGGTGGCTCTGTGGACATCTGTGAGGATCAGACAGAAGAGCAAGGCACAGGCCTTTGGGCGGGATAATCTTTAGCATGCTTAAGCAATGGCATAGAGTTCTCCGTGGTGCCAGAGAAGGGAGCCAGGGGGAGGAGCCGTAGGATTTGAGGTCAGACATGTTATGGCATAAAGGTCTTGTAGGCTATGTAAGGACCATGGATTTTACAATGAGCACAACGGAGGGTATAGCAGCAAATCAAATAATCTGACGTATGGTAAAGGGATTGATTCGGTCACTTTCATCAGGCTGGGATAAAATATCTGCAACTCAGGAGGAGAGGTTTATCTTGGCTCACCGCTTCCAGAAGTTTTAGGCCTTGCATGATCAGCTGGTTCCTACACAGGGTGGCAGACACACCCGGTCACACCCCAGACCCCACCTCCTACAGCAAGTCAGCTATGAGCCCAGTGATCCCATCACCTTCCAAAAGCCCCACCTACAGGGACACGAGGCTCTTGGGGGACATAGCGACTCCAACCCTAACAGGGGTCATTATGGCTACTGTGTTGAAGAGACCTTAGAGGAGAAAATATGGAAGCACAGAGAGACCCAGTCAGAAGGCTGTGGCAGGGATCTGGGCGAGAGAGCCTGGCAGTGGAGACCAGGGGGATGGCAGAGGAACTGGAGAAGGGTCAGGTTCTGGAAAAGATTTCGCAGGTAAAGTCGACAGCATTTCTCCGTGGATTGAAGAAAGGGTAGGAGAGAACATGAGGAGTGAAACTGTGGCTTGAGCAATGCGAAGGACAGAGTTGCTTCCAACACAGCAGGGGAAGGAAATGGCGGACACAGGTTTCAGGGCAGCGCAGAGATCAAGTTCAATACAACTTATTTATGTTTCAAAGATTAGAGAATGAAGAAATAAAACAAAGAAATAGGAAGGAGCAAGGCGCGTGAGTAGAACCTGGCCTCCCGGAGGTGAGGGGACCTCTGGGTCTGAGGAGAGCGACCTGAGCCTCTGGAAGAGGCTCACTTGAGACTCCCGGCCGGAAGGCGAGACTGAGAGTGTTTTTCCTCCAGCCATGCTCAGTTCCGTGTCTGTAGAACAAGGAAGAGTTGGGTTTGCCAGGGTTAAACAAGTGAGTTCTGTGAAGTAAAGAAGCGTCAGGAAGTCAAGAGTAAAAGCATGCGTGTAATGATTGATTATGGTTCTTGAGCTGGATAAGGAGAGAAGCAAGGCCATAACCGAGGGGAGAGATGAGAGATGAACAGATTTGTGTTCCCAGGTGACGTAATTGCAAGGTTTTGAGTTGCATTTATTTCTGTTATTCCCTTTTCTTAATGGAACATGATAATATTGTTTCCTTTTTTCTTTTCTTTTTTTGGTACCGGGGATTGAACTCAGGACCTTGTGAAATAGGCGGCGGAACCACTGAGTTAAATCTCCAGCCCTGTTTCCCTTTTTAATATGAAGGTATCGTTAGTGTCCAACCAGACAGAAATAGAAAAGGTGATGGGTAAGTGGGTCACTTCTAGGAAACAGTGGGTTAGTCCTTCAAATTTTACCCAGAGGAAACTGCCTAGCCCAACGTGAACAGAAAAACATTGGGCCATTGGGATGCCTACTTCTTGGGAGTGGACAAAAATGTTCTAAGCCAGAGTTCTCTAACTTTTTTTTTCCTTAGACTCTTTCATTGGTGCATTTTAGGTGTACAATATGTTTACATTTCTCACTGGGTGCTTGCACCTGTACATGATGGATCTTGGTTCTTATTTTTTTTCCCCATTCCCTGTGCTCCCTTCCCTATTTACATAGACTTCATTTCCATTTTTTCTTTTCTCATCATTTTTCCTTTCCCTTCTTTCCTTTCCCCTTCCCCTCCCACCACCCCTCCCCCTTTGGACCTTTGCTTCCTATTTCAAATTATCAATTATTCATTTTAGTCCTTATTTACACTTTCAGTTTCTCACACTAGAGAAATTATTCAGTATCTACACGTGTGTCCCATTTATTTCACTTAAGAGTATGGCCTCAATGTGCATCCACTTAGCTATAAATGTCTTTAGTTTCTCATTCTTTATGGCTGACTAGTACTCCATTTTATAGAAAAAAAATACTACATCTTCTTTATCCAGTCTCCAGTTGATGGGCATTTGGGCTGTTTCCAAGCTTTAGCTATTACAAACTGTGCCACTATGAACATGGGTGCACATATATCACTGTGGTATGATTCTTTTAATTCTTTTGGGAAGATCCCCAGCAGGGGAATAGCT